GAGGGAGTTCGGTCAAGGATCGCACACACCCGGTGGGTGATATTGTTCTCCCTGGCTTTCAACTGCAAATATATATCGTTCACAAGGGCAGGCTTGAACCTTGGCAGACATAGTTATTCGGTCAACGTGAGCGCCATTATTGCGGCCACTGAGCCGAACAAATGCGACGCACCCCTGCTGGATTGGTGTCTCCGAAAGGGACACTGGCTCCCAGAAGAGCATCGCAAGAAGTGCGTCCGGGCACAAGAAGCCCAACAACATTTGGACGAAGAGTTCCGTCGACGCATCAACAGGATGTCCATTGTGGACCGACCTACGCGATGCAGATGTTGATTATCATTGCTTATGCGGTATGGTGCATCCATCACCACCACCCCACAAAATTCACTTCGATATAGATTGCAGCATGATGTGGGCTAGTCCCCATCCATCGCTTGCGTCTCATCGATTTCGTTACGATGGAACATTTTTTTCACATGATATGATTTCATGCGTCCAAGGAGAATGGATGTGTATGTATTTACATATTCCGACGGCTATGACGTTCCGGATATTCATGAATGGGCACTATTACCTCATGGATGATTTCTTTTCCTTATATCATTCGTGGTGTCTGGAATAGCTATTTTGCATATATTGCTCACCAAATCTTCTTTGCCAATGATATTCAGATGGCTTACGACCATGCGCTGCTATGGATTTCTATGGCCAACCCATTTCTATGGATGACGGCTGCGCGATGCGCAAATGCGGCAGCCGGGATTTCCAATGGTTGCGTGACGGTGCGAGGCAAAATGCCTGTTGCATCTGTGTATGGGAATGTGCTACGATTTGCGGATGCATGTTTCTGTCTTAATTGAACCCGGCAAGTTTCACAATGAATGGACGGTGTAGCAATAGTGAATGAAAGAGTGTTCGACACAGTTTCGTAGTCGGAGCCGTGGCCATTGGAACGTGTTATGATGTTTGGACCGCATGATGAACGATGCGACCCAAATGGGGGATGTTAAAACCCTCGAATTGGGAAGCTGTTCTGAGGTCCATGTTCTTGTTGGTTAGACACAAGTAGGGCTCAAGGTCTTGCATGAACTACGTTCGCACGTGATCGATCTGAGAGAGTGGAAAACAGTGTCATTCGCGCTGCAGATACCGAGTGTACAATCGTGGTTACTGGTCTTTACCCCTTACAACAATTTGCACTGGTTTGGCTATAACGGTTTGACCGTATACACCTTTCTTCGTGGTTGAGTACACACAGCTAGAGGGTTCGGTGGACAGCGTCCCACGGGACGTCACCTTGCCATCTCTTGACAGTTCCAATGCGAAATTACTACAGTCTCAGTGATGCCCCCGCCTCAGCCAATCGTGTGATGTGTGATGCAGATGAAAATAGACATATACGGCCACAAGGATGTTGTCAAACCCGCTCTCCCGGCTTGCCCTTTCTGCGCCGTGTCTCAGCTTGACTTTGCAGGATGGGGACTGGGTGAAACAAGAGAAGAGGTCGCAGGTCTTCACGATACAAATGAGCCCAGCACTTAGTTTCAATGCCTTTCAACTTGGGGCGTTTTTGCTGTCACCCGCTCTCAGGCAGAGTGCTACGGGTTCACGCTGCCATCTGCGGAAGATGCATGAGTTGCGTGTCCCTCAGCAGTTTGAGGACTGTGAACTTGCATTCTTACTGACCGAATGTTGGCTTTGGCATTTTGTGTGAGCTTCTCGGCCGAGGCAGCTACGCAAACACCGTTTCACCTGGTGTTGTGCTATAAGCAGGGACGTTTCGTTACACCGCAGCTTTGCTTGACTTTCCAGGATTAGCAGTCAGCAGTGTGGGGAAAGAGCCCTTGCGTCACTTTGCTCAGCCAGTGTTCACCTGCCAGCATGATTTGGAACGCTTCAAGCATGACAGTCTATGGTGCAAGTAGCCTTGCCGTTCTTCAACTTGCGGTTGCCGTGCAATCCCAGCCCCCCCCCCCCAGGCAGCAGCTTCATGTGAACCCGTGAATCTCGCAAGAGCGCCCCTGGGTGTGTGGAAGGCCTGGAGAGGCTGTAAAGGGAATGGGAAAATGGAAGAGTTGGAGGACCCAGTGCACGTGAACTCCTGAAAATCCGAAGCACCCGAAGGACCCAGTACACGTGAATTCGTGAAAATCCGAAGGACCCAGTACACGTGAATTCGCGAAAGTCCGATGGACCCAACACACGCATGACAACACCAAAGCCCTAAGCTGCTGCCTGACAAGGTTCGCGGGTTCACGTGCAACTGCTGCCTGACAAGATTCACGGGTTCACGGGTATTGGGTTCATCGGACTTTCACGAATTCACGTGTACTGGGTCCTTCGGATTTTCACGAATTCACGTGTACTGGGTCCTTCGGGTGCTTCGGATTTTCACGAATTCACGTGTATTGGGTCCATCGGACTTTCACGAATTCACGTGAAACTGCTGCCTGACAACATTCACGGGTTCACGTGAAATTCACGTGAAACTGATACCTGACACTGCCTGACAAGATTCACGGGTTCACGTGAAACTGCTGCCTGACAAGATTCACGGGTTGACGGCCTTCCTCTCCCTCCTCCCCTTTCTCTCCTTCCCCTCCTACCCCCAAACCCCCCCCCCCCCCCCAAACCCTCCCCCAAACCGCGGGTGGCAGGGTTGAGAACCGGCGAGTACATGGCTGCCCTTGACATGGCTGAACTGGACGCTGGCCAAGAGGCCCCAAAAACAAAGCAAAGCGGAGTCCGTGGCTGCGCCTCAGAGGGCTGGCCTTTGGCCAAGTGGACCCCTTCCGGGAATTGTGTGTGAGGTGGAGCCGAAGTCAGCCTCCTTCAAGACCTTGCGAGTGAAGAGCTCCCAACAAACCTGTTGCCAGGCCGAAGCCCAAACATCTTCCCGGGGCGCGGCCGGTGAGTGGCGAGCCCCATGCATCCAGGGGGCAGAGGAGCTTGGAAACATTGCGCTTGCGGTGGTTTCGGATTTGACGGATCAGCGCCCGCCATGCGAAATGTGTGAAAACATTTTTGCTTGTAGCCTGGCCCAAAGAAGCGCTCAGCAGCGCTGCCGACGGTCCACGCACACAGCGCAAAGTCGCGCTTTCAAATCCACATCATATCACAAACTAACCACGAGGGAAACACTGCGCAGCCATGGGCGTGGAGACGACGAAGGGCAGGCTGGTCAGCTTCAACTCGTGCTTGTTAGGACTCGTTGTCGTCAGGTGTTCGCTCCCGCATTCTCCTGACTGCAATCTCGTGGCTTTTCTTGCACACGGCCAAGACCACTGAAAGGGGGGAGAAGTGGGAAGAGCTGGTTGCAAATTCCCTGGCAGCGCGGTTCCGCCTTCACTGCATAGCAAGAAACCTGAGTGCTGAAGTCACCTGGGTCCCTTTTTTGGAGATCGACCCTACGGAGGATCCACATGTGCGAGCTGTTTTGGAGCCGTTCGAAGTTTGCTGGAGTGATGGTGTGGAATATCCAAGCGGCCAAGGCAACGAAGCAACTGTCATGAGTGACGTTGGGAAGGCCATCAAGTCCAACCGGAATTTTGCAACGGCTCACCACGACCTTTTGATCCCTGTCAGATGCAAGGCAACTGGTAAGCTCGAGTTCATTGCTGCGCAATGTCGTTATGGAAAGAAAAAGGATGCAGGCGAGCTCAAACTTCACCACATGGCTGCCAAAGACCAATGAGGCAAATTGGACATGTGCGGAGCGCATCAAACAGATAGCTCCATCGCTCTGATCCGACCCGGGTACCCGACCAGGCGAAAAAGGGTGCGTCACAGTGGGTAACGCTTTCCATGGAGAGTGTAGATGACTTCGAATTGATTGGGGGGTTGTGGACCCTGGTTCCATGCCATGTTTGACGGCGAGCTGCTTTCGTGAAGCGCCGAGCACTGCGGCACTGCTGATTGAATGGCCCTTCAAGACTAGTGGACCAGGTTTGATGCGCCTTCCAGGGGTGCTGATTGGTTCCCCAATCCTGGATCTGGAAGGCCAATGTTTTGAGCTGTGATACTTTCCCGTTTCTTTCCATCCCTGCCTCTTCCTCTTGGCCCCTGGTCGAAGAACAAGCGACGAACTTGAATGTAAGCGCCACATGCCTGTCCCACTGGGAATGACAAGTGCGGCAGCCTCATGTCGCAAGGAGTTTCACTGACGGCGCACAACCTTTCAGTGAACATCATTGCATTGGAAGGGTGCAAACCCCATGGACCCAATGGAATCCAAAAGCAATGGGGAGATGCACCTTAAGTCTCGGTGGATGGATTGACGAGCGACTGTAGGGGTACTCCTTGGAGCATGACACTATTTGTTCAGATTCGCTTGGATGAGCTGTTTCGTTTGTGCGCCGGCATAATTACTGAAACTGAATTCATTGAGCATCATAGAACATGTATGCCCCCTGCGTTGCAAAGGTGTGATAGGCCTTTTTGACAGATACCCATGCAGTACCCCTATGTTGTCAGCAAGATCGTAAAGCCTGTGCGCGCCCGGCACGCAATCAGATACTTGAGAGCAAACTTGTTGTATCTGATGGTTGCAGGACCTTGCCCCTTCACAGGATCCAACGGAGAACCTCCAGCATGTTTGCGAAGCGCTTCTCAGCCTCGATGAGGATTGCACCAAATGGCACCCAATGGCACCATGGCACCATAGACACCATGGCTAGTTTCACTGGGCATCGCTTTCGCAAACGCTGCGCGTGGTGCTCAAGACCTTGCTCAAGCTCCAGCCAAACTTCTCAGCGGCGCGGCTTACGGCGACTTGCATGGCTGGAAGCCCGGAGGGTGGGAACGGAGAGGATGGTTTGGGCAATCGGAGCCCCAGGCGAAGGCATTTTGAACCTCAACGTGGTTTTGGGAGACCCTTTCCGTATCAGGTCTTGATTGTGGCCCAGGACCTGAGTTTGGACAGGCCGAATATTTGGGATGTTAACACAAAGATGCCCAGAGAAGTTGGAACAAGGGGTACTCGCACCTCTTTCGGCTCAGAGGCGGACACGGTGCTCCACAAACTTCAACTTCAACCCGACAACCCGGAGGCGTTTCTGGGCGTCATGTGGGCTGCGGGTGACGCCTCACAGTTGTTGTACACCATGACTTGGTGAACAAGATTTCTTAGCTGGACACAAGAGCCTGCTAGGTTCCATAAGTCATGGGGGCATGGGATGAGTGGGATGGAAGTCATTCCCAACGAAGCCCAAATCATCAGAAACCGCAGGAAACCTCAGAAAAACGAAGGCCGAAGTCGAGCAAAGAGCTCAGACCTCCCGCGAGAGCCCAGGGATTCGGCACACGTCCAGCTCCGATTGCCAGGCAGTGCGCCGGGGCCTGCGCAGTGCACTCTGCTTGGTGAGCACCGAGGCGCGGCCCATCTGGGTCTCGGCGCTGTCTCGGGTCTCGGGCGCTTGCAGGTTGCGTTCCTTTTGTTGGAACGAACCCTTCTGCGTTTGGAAGCTGATACAAATCAAAAGAAAAGCCCGATGCACCATTTGTTGGGAAGCCCCTGTTCTTTTGGGCTTCGAAAACGGATTCAGACGGAAGCGCCCTTGTTGCCAGTTCCCTCATCCTGAGCCAAAGAATCCACATGGACTGGTGGGCGCAGTAGTTGCGATGCGTTTGGTTTGAAGAGCAAGGCGAAGGTATTGGTCTCTAGACAGTCGAGACAGGTGGACGCAGTCCTGGGCTTCCTGCGGAGCCATCAGGCGGGACGCGCTCGGAAGGCTCTCACCGCGGTGTCCGAGTTCGGTCGGTTCTTTCGGTGGCTTTTGAAACGAGATCCTTCGGGCTCCTTCAGCCAGGCGGCCTGGACTGCCGGGGGCCCAGGTCTGAGCAAAATGGGCCGTGTTTAGATACCATGAAGAACAACCAGTCAAGAAACAGCGCAGAAGTCACACGTCGCGTTTGTTTTTCTCCTCTCCTCTCCACCGCGGTGCTCGCATCGGAGGCCCCGGGGGCGGCCCACGCTGCCGCCGAGCTGCTGGCGGAGCTGCGGAAAGCTCCGCTGTCCAAGGAGCGTCTGAGGCCCGGGGGGTGGGGGGGTGGGCGGCTCGGGTTTCTGGTGGGCGGCTTCCCCTTGTTTTCTTTTTGAAGGGGGTCCTTTTCTTTTTCAAGTCGGTTCACAGATGGTTTTAGGGCCCCCCTTATTTTGACAGACACTCAAGTGTACTCACCCAATTGACATATCCGTGCAGATCCGTGCAGGCGAGTTGCCGCCATCTCATCGGAGGCCTTTGCAGCTGAGCCGCGCTAGCTAGTGCGTTCGGGTGCAACGGATGGGGGGCGTGAGGCGATCAGTCGTTTGGGGGGAGAAGTTGGGGTTGGGCCGGCGTTTCATTTGCAACCTTGCTGAAAACCAAGAGTCCTTATGTCAAACGGAGGCGCTTCAGTCCACGGGGGTGGCTGGTGTAGATTTTTAACGACCTGCCACAGGTTGCCAGGAGTTCGTACTGGCAGACAGGGGTGGATTTCTGTGAGGAAATGTTAGGCCTTGCCGAACCCCCACAAAGCCCAACCCAACCAACACGCAACCAAACCCCCCAAACCCCCCCAACCCCCCCCCAAACCCCCCCAAACCCCCCCAAACCCCCCCAAACCCCAACCCCCCCCAAACCCCCCCCAAACCCCCACAAACCCCCCCCAAACCCCCCAAGGCCCCAACCCCTCCCCAAACCCCCCAAACCCCCACAAACCCCCCCAAACCCCCAAACCCCCCCAAACCCCCCCAAACCCCCTCAAACCCCCCCAAACCAAACCCCCCAAACCCCCCCAAACCCCCTCAAACCAACACGCAACCAATCCACCCGCAACCCCCAAACCCCCCCCCAAACCCTCCCCCAAACCCCCCCCCAAACCCCCCAAATGCCCCGCTGAGGTGCTGAGTTTGGCGCAGGGCGCCACTCCCACCGCCGAGGCCTGCGGCCAACTCCTGGCCCACGCCGTGGCGGCCCGGAGCCCCGGATCTCCGGAGCCGGCGGCGAGAGGTGGAGATTCGGCGAAAAGACTCGATCTGACCTTTGGCTTTCGGGCTTCCCATTCTATTCCCCATCAAAATCGAGGCCGAATCCGAGTCCGAGCCGCCCAAACCCTCCCAGTCCTCCAAAAAGGTGTGGCGCCCGCCGCGCTCCGAGGCCGGGAGCAGCTTGCAAGGCGAAAGGGAGACGCTGCTCGAGATCTTCCTGGACCTCTTGCAGCAGAAAGCCCCCACGCTCGCCCAGGACGGGAGGGCGGAGGTGTTGTTCCTTCTTGTTGAGGGCTGAGAGATCCCCTATCCAAACAAAAAGAAGATTCAGAAACCAAAAGCACAGTTTCATGCCGTTAAATCTATTAGATGATGTAATGTTATAACGTAGAATGAAGGTGAGAGACTTCTCATAAAGTAAATTCAGATGAAGATAGAAGAACATAGTTAGAAAATCCTGCAGTTTTACTTGACACAGCTTTTAACATTACATATTGGCATAAGAAATACCATTCAGGTCTCCGCGGCAAAGGCATGTGCTGTTTTGGTGGGATACAACCGGGGGGGGGGGGGATAAGCGGTGTTTATTGAAAGCTACGTGGATTAGTCAAACTAGGTCTCGCTATTGAAAGTGCAATGATCAAGACTAGGCGTAGTTGTCTCAGATCATTGGTCCTACTTGTTGAATCAGCCATTCTATAATGATGCTGGTGTTTCTTTCACATGGGATCGGTTCCTGGCTGAAATGCTCTGGCGTTGTAGAAGCCTTCCGGCTAAACACCAACCACTGTGTTCCAGGGATCCGGATTTGTGTGATCAAAAGATGAGTTCCAGGTGTTGAGTGGAAGTCGACTGTGGTTTGCCGGGTTTTAGCCAGGCCGAGGGTGCGGCCAAAGCCTTGGCCTCCCTATTGATGCAGGCAGGGATCAATAGCTGGGGGTGGCCCTTTTTCAGGTTGGACCCCGCCAGTTTCGGCGGTCTTCCTTTTTTGGTTTCCCTTTAAAACCCTCCCAAATCATTGGGTACCCTCCACAGAAGACACACCCATTCTTTCAAATATATGACGCATGCAATACATGTACACACAGACATGCAGACACCCTATTACACCGGCATGCCATGTGGAAATTGAGAAAGCAAGAGCGAAACACCAACACTTTTTGTCATTGTAATCGCAGATAGGCAGAACCATCCGAAAGCATGTCGGCTTCACACTGCTTCGAGGATCTTTAAGTTGCATTAGGAAGCACCGATTTCGTGCAAAATTCATCCAAAGCAACACGTGCCAAGAAATGCAATTCCCAAAAAGCTCCCCCTCTTTGGTGCGAGCTTGCACTAATTTTCCCGATTTTGTTCGGTGGGCTGAGTCCAGGTGGGTGAAAGATAAAAAAGCCAAACAGCACACACCGTGGCAAATATGATATTCCTTGCTGCCGAAGCGAAACAACGAGAATAGCATGTCAAACACCAAGTGGTTCGTTCCAAAATGTTTCCCAAAGCCTATTTGGTTGTTTCCCAATACAGGGACCAGCAAGACTGGAAGCAAAAGGAGTTGTCTCAAAGCGCCGCCGCAACGAAATCGGTGAATTTTTCCTTCCACAAAGTGCACCCACAAAGACGGTACACCCAAATATGGGCGTGTCATCTTTTTTTGGGGGATGACCCGGTGTTCCTTTTGGTTTCCCTTTGAAGTCACCCAAGAAAGGGGTACACAGCCATGGGCGTAGAGAACTCTCCATGAGGTGGCCTCCGGCCAGGACGGAACCTTTGGGTTGCTTTCAAGGACAACGTTTGGGGCTTCCATTTGCAGACCTCATGGGTTCACAGGTTCAGGAGCTTAGGAAACTTCTCAGACGTTGGGAACTCCTCAACAGCGACATGTGAAGCCCTTGTGTGATGCCTTCCACAAAAACAAAATCAACCCAAGCAGACCCACACCCGCAGAACCCACATCCTTCTGGTGACACAAAAAACGAAGCCAACAGCATCATGGGAACCAGCCGACCCAAGGAGCCACGGCGTGCCACGGCCCAGGCGCTCTGCGCGCTCTGCGCCTTCCCGGCGGGCGCTCATTGCCTGGCGGGCGCCCGGCAATGCGCCCGGGCGGCGGCGGCCGGGCTGCTGCAAGCGGCGCTCCAAGACGGCGCCGTGAGGCCGTGGGGGAGCCGTGGGGTGAGAGGAGGAGGTGAGGTGGGCAGGGGCTTCCCAAGAGCGTTGTATCCCACTCAACTGGAGACATATAAAGGTGAGTTGCAACCATGAGCCCTAAAAGAGCCAATACTAACGATGCAGAATAGACCTTAAGTGTCCATCATACGGCGGTTCCCCATTGTTGTACCCCACTTAATGAACTGGAAGTTGTCTTCAAGGGTGGGTTTGGTGTGAACAGATTTGGGTTGGTCTCAAAGCAGAGTTCCAAAATCGCAGGTTTCAAAATCGGCAGGTTCCTTCTGGTTCCCTTTACACCAGCCCAAAAAGGGTGCCCTCGAAACTAGGACTACATACACTCACCCAAACCATTTCCGGCAGCCTGGCGACCAAAGGTGGGGGATGTAAGCCATGACAGATTTGATAAGTCAGACTTGATAGGAAAGGGAATGGAGCAAGAGAAGGGGCCAAATTATTTCCGAACGGCCCTTCAAAAGTAACTCGATTTCAGGGAGCGCTTCTGGAGGCCACAGCCGAAGGCTACTCCAGAAGCAAGGGCAAGGCCACTTTTCTTCATCCCCCCCAGGAAAATAAAGTTGGCAGAAGTTCTGAGCTACTTTGAACATGGAATCTTGTTCAGGGAAGTTTGACGCAACTGTTTGGCACGTGTTTGTCTGTTGGAGCGAATGTTTTGAAGCTCGAACGCAGGTCCTTCTTTGAAGACTTTGCTGCGGTGGTTGCAGCAGCCTCCCTTGAGGCCGGCTTTGAGTTTGCAGACTGAGCTCTAGGGAGAAGGGACGCATGGGAAGTTTCACTTTCGGGATCTTGTCCTGTTTTGCGCCATGCTCTACTTCTTTCCTAAAAAGTTCAAGGCCGCGGCCATTTCAGACAAGTTGCTTTTGGAGAGCCAAGTGGTTGCTGGGCTCTCCAGAGACTATGGCTGCCGCCCGTTGGAACACCGTTCATTTTGAAAGGGTCCACCTTATTCAAAGCTTCCTTTATCTATTTGTTCAAAGCAATATCCAGTGTCATTCGAAGTTCAATCAACGCCAACGCCCTTCAATTTGAATCTCAGATCTCGTTTTCTCCCGTTTTACTCGATTCACTGAACATCCCGGCGCCAACCCGCCGTCTCCACCGGGGGGACGATGCGTCAGGAGCACTCGCCTGGCGCTTCGGTGCTGCTGACCGCGTTGCTGGGCAGCGCCTCTGTGGTGCTGAGGCACATCCACTCCAAGCGGATGGGCGCAAAACATCCGGGGAATCGACTGGAGAGCCATTCAGATGTTCTCGAACCAGGAGATTCCCTCCAATTCCCAAACACAAGGAGTGAGTAGACAAAACATCCCGAGAACTGTTGAATCCCCTCCAAAACAAAAGAAGGGAGTGGGAGAAAATGGACGAGTTTTGTTGAAAGTTGTAGAGTGGAATGAAGCAACACATGCCAGCCTACTTTTGCGCGTTTACCCGACCCCTTGGACGATGCGAGTTTGTAGCTGACTAACATTTGGGCGCACAAATCAGCGGTTGCAGTCTTTCCATATGAGGTGCCGTTAGGTGCCGTTCGGGGAGGGATTCGATACGTTTGAGCCGCGGCCATTCGATTCGACGCCATCGCCTCCGATCCAAGTTCGCAGGTCCCGCGGTGCCGGTGATGCCAAGGCGCGCGCGCTCGCTGGGCGCTTCGCACTGAGAAAATCTTCGGTTTCGAAATCGGGGGGATCCTTTGGATCGGACTGAGAGGGAAGCCACCTGGAGGCCACTCAACGGCAACAAAAATGCGGTGGATCAGTGGATCAGGTCTGCAGTAAGAAAAGGGGCCCACTGACCTGTCCAAAGGTCGTTTGCCCGCTTGCGTGATTCTGTCCTGCGGAGTGGCTTTCCTGTCTAAAGTCGGTGAATTTGGCAGCTTGCCGCATTTTGTGCTGCAAAGTGATGGGTTGTTCAAGCCTTGTAATTGCCAGCTCATATACCGCATTTTTTCGGGGCGGACTTGTCCATTTGCCAGCGTGAAGTGGCAAAGTTGCACTTGTTCAAAGTCCGTCATTTGCCAGCTTGCTCCCATGCTGTCCTGCCATGTGACAAAGGACTTGTCCAAAGTCTCATGTTGTCCTGCGGAGTGACAATGTTGCACTGCTCCAAAGTCCGTCATGTTGTACAACCCAAAATCCGTAATTTGCCAGCTTCTGACAGCGCTCTTTTTGTCTCAATTCCTTCCTTTGCCAGCGCGAAGTGACGAAGTTGTACGTGTCCAAAGTCCATCATTTGGCAGCTTGCCTTATTGTGTCCTGCACAGTGACGGACTTGTTCACAGTCCGTTATTTGCCATCTTGCCTCACTCTGTTCCCACGAAGTCACAGACTTTTCCACAAAACGTCATTTGCCAGCTTGACATATTGAGACGCTGACGCGCAACAGCCGGCCACCGGGAACCCTGCCCTTCATTTCCCTCCCTCCCTTCTCTTCCCTTAACTTCACTTTCATTTTCCTTCGCAGTTCCGTTCGTTTCCCTTCATTTCCATCCCTTGATTTCCCTTCATTTCCCTTCATCTTTCTTTAATGTCCTTTCATCTGACATTTATTTCCCTGAACAGGAAGTAGAGGCTCGGCGGATTCCGTCCGGAGTCACGGACTTGTTTACAGCCTCAGAGTGACAAGTTCAGCGTGCCCTGCGATCTGAAGTAGACTATCGCGGCCGTTGGGACACCGCGCCCACCCAAACGAAGTGATTTTTGCCATGTCTTTGTTTCAGTTCTGCTTTGCTAAATTCGGGGTTAGAGCAAAACCTGGATAAACCTTCCTAGAAGAAGGATGAACAAAAAGCAACAACATCCGAAACTTCGCAAAGCCATATATATAGACCTGGATGACCTCTATACCACTATGCAGACCAACAGTCGCTAACTCGCACGGTCCAGGTGATGTGCGTGAAGGTCCTGGGCCGGGTGGCCGAGGAGTTGCACCAAGAGGCGGCTTCGTGTTATTTTTTCTTCAAATGATTTATTTGTAGTTCTTTTTTGAGTTGTTTTTGTGTCTGTTTGTTTTTATGGTTGTGTTTTGATTAGTTTTGCTTTTAGTTTGTTTTTCGGACTTTGGACGTTTATTTTTGGAGGGTAGAACCTTTTACTCCAGATGTCGTCCATCCACAGTATGGTAAATACCGGTCAATTGTGGATGCCAGTACGGTGTACCCAGTTCATGACCCAAACTTTGGGTCGGATCCACAGTCGACAACCTACTCCCCTAATGAACATCGAGATCCCCAAAGAGGACATAGATTCTTCGACGCCCCCCTGTCTTTTTTGGGGTTCCACGTTCCCTGTTCTGTCAGTTTATGCACCCTGGACATGTCCCTCACTGCGCTCACCCACCCACAAGCCGCCAGGGCTGCCATTTGTCCTCTTTAGGAGAAACGCAACCTGCTGCTGATGCTAGCTGCAATCCAGCCGGGATGATTGGTGACACCATGCACTCACTTTGTCCAGGCACCTGCGGAAGCTAACCGGACCGCTGACTCATTTTCCGCTTACATGTTTTTTCCGCTCGCCTTTGGCCCCATGGTTGATCGGTGAATCGGTCAATCAGCAATGAGTTGCGATGCGCAAAGAGTAGAGGGCCGCGGAAACCATGGAATTGGGGCAGTTTCCATGGCCCCCCAGGACCAAACCAAACAAACATCGCGTCCAAAGTTTGCCAGGCTCCGAGGCTGTGTTGCAGCTGCCAGGACTCGCTCTGGACGTGATTTCGCGTGCATGTAACATGGTTCCAGCACGGGTCAGGGGTTGTTTGCAAGCGCTGTTGCCCGTGCGACCGGAGCCCCGGTCATGGAAAATTGAGCTTTAGGTTGCCAGTTTTGTGTGATATTAAGGGATCCCCCGTGAAAGTGGAGTCATGGGAATCCATCGCTCAACGGCAGAGTGTGGGTAGTCCATTTTAGCCCAGTCCGCGATCAAGATATATGAGCGCACCTCTCAGGAGACCAGTGAGAAGCATGGCCACGACGCGCCGGAGGCGCTCCACGTGCCAGTAGCGCTGGGCCTCCGGTCATAGAAGCTGATCGGAGGCCTCTGGAAAACGAACGCCTTCCTTTTGGGCAGCTCCCTGTCGATCGTCCAAGTCCATTGTTGGACCCAGTCTTGCCAGCAGTTCCTTGGGTGCGCCATTTTCGGAGGGTGCCTGTTTTTTGGGAAACCTTGGGTCCCCCCGAAGGTTAAAGGGAAGCCAGGAAAGTCACCGAGTTTGGGGTCTCCCCCAAAAGAGACATAGATGACATAGACACACACCCAGACACCGGCCCTTTGTGTCGGCTCCGCTTCCGCTGGCCAGATCCGCGAAAACTGCGACCAGTGCCTCCTACGCTGGGCAGCCTTCGAAATGACCCAAAGGCCGGGTGAGGGCTCTCGGGTTTGTCATTTCACGGAAAGGCAAAGATGAGTTGGACCACGTTTTGGCGTGTTCAACAGTGCCACCTGATAAGATAGATTGTGCTATTTCCCCCCCCCGAGAGGAGGCAACGCCTCTCTCGGGGTCTTTCGGGTTCAAAGCGGGCATCCGGTGAGGTACAGCTTGACAGCCCCTCCCGCAGAGCCCTGGCTGGCGCGTTGCTTCGGCGAAAGAAGCTCCCGTGGGTTCGGGCTTCGTCTGTCTCGGGCATTTCAATAGCTGGAAGGTGGGACGGTGGAAGCATTTGTGTTGACAAAGCAAAGCTCCAACGAAGAGACACGTCGCAGAGCTCGCGGTCGATGTGGATTCCGCTTGCAATCCCACCGCACGGAGGTTTCCTGGAAGGGGCGTCTTTGGGCGGGTTTGGCGGTTCCATCCGAGCGAACGCGAGCCGAGGCTTTCTGCTGGTGGAGTCTTGGCAGGAGCCCGTCTGTAGAAGAGACGTGCCATGGGGTTTCAGCCCGGGTTGCTGGCTTGGCAGGGCGGCCTTCACGATCACCTGGAAAGGTCGAGTCGAAGTGAGCTTAGGTGAAAAGGGACATGATGGGACATGTATGGAGATCGTGTCAAGCGTTACGCAGCTTCAGCAGATCCTGTTCGCTCCTCATTGCGACATCTGCTTGTGCATTCCGCACGGGTCGTGCCTGGACACCAAGGGTTGCCGCTTGTTGACCTTGTGTTGGGTTGAAGGCACCCCGGCGGCCATGAGGCGGGGTCAACTTGATGAGCCTGCTTTTCCACAGAATTAGGGACCCTTTGCCTTTTGGTGTTCGTTGAAGACCACCCCCCCATGAGACGGACCAAGTATTTTGCCATGCCCGATATTTCAGGAACTAAGAACTGCCGCGCGTGAGACAATCATAGCATTTTGGAACCACTTAACTTCAACAACAAGTCAAACCACCGACTGAGGGGGAAGCTGAGTCAAGCCGGCCATGGAAAAATCATGTGTGGGGCCCGTTGGCTCGGAACAAAACATGTCAACCCACAGGGTTTGGTTTCACTTCTGTGAGTGGCTATGAGAATAAATAACACCACTGTAATTGCCAAGAATCAGTCAATAGTAACAGCAATAACCTCTATAGTATACAAACAACAGCGAGCAAAACCAATGCAACTAGTTCTATGTGAACAACAGCAATCACCGACAATGGTGAGTGTCTACAACCGTGGCGCAGGAGGCTCACCGCCCGAGTGCCGCACTGCAGCTGGCATGTTGGGCAGAAGAGGAGCCCAGGCGGGAGCTTCTGCTGAGGTCGAAAATTGGATCGCTTCCTACTTGGCTTCTCACCATTTCCAAGGCCCAACTTGCAGAGCCCAAAGGGACAATCCCCCAACTTAGTGAATCTATACGGGTTGTGCAACATCACCCCCAACTTCATTCTAGAAGGCGGGGTATGTCCATTTGGGGTATGTAGTAGGCCCTTTGACATATTGGTGCTCTTTGGGATTTTCCACCCACACCATACTGTGGATGGACAAAATCCGGCAAGGTGGCATCTATCCCATTTGGTGCAGGATTTGGCGCATCCACAGTAGCTTGGGACTTGGATTGTAGCTCTCACAAAGACTCCATCAACGCAAATCCAAAGGGGACGAAAGAAAAGAGCTCAGAAGTGCCCTTTTTCCCGCTTTTGGAAGTGAAGACGGCTATGGGGGAAATGTGAGACTCTTGAGGCTGCACTTGGGCCTTATGTGAGACTCTCCTTTTGGTTGGGCCCCCTTTTGCTGGAGTGTTGCCGGACCGCAGCCTCGCCCGCGCAGGTGCCCCGGTGGCACAGAGCTGCTGCGGCGCGCCGGCGCCTGGGTGGCAGGCGCCCGGAACTCGGACGGGACGCCCGCTTGGGGTGTCCCGGTCCCTTTTTCTTGGGAGAGGCCTCCAAAACATGGGAGAGGATTCGGCAAGAATAGGAGAAGCCTTCCAAAAACATGGGTGAACATTCAAACAGAATGAGAGAAAAATGAGAGAGACCTCCAAAAATATGAGAGAGACCTTCAAAAAATGGGAGAAGCGCCCAAAACATGGGAAGCCTCAGCCCCAAAATGGGAAGCAGAGTGTGTTTTCCTTCTTTTTCCGCTGCTTTTTGTGAGGGGAGTATCTTCCCCAATGCAAGGGATGCTTCATTTTAGGCCACCGGCACTCAGGCAAAGTTCGGCGGGAAAGAATGGGGAAATCATCTGAGTTTGGCTGGCGCACTCGCAGCAATTGTTGAGGAAGGGCTCCCGCGTTTTGATGGATTTCGGAAGGAGGATGGGCAACGAGCTCTAAATTTCAACCACACCAACCAGGGCAACCAGGGGACGCGCCCGCATTTTTTAACGTTCTTCAATTCAATTTTGACCGTTGCGCGTTGCTCATGTGTCTCAACGCAGAGCTTTGGACCCCCCGAAATAGGTTGTGTTCCTTTTGGCTTCCCTTTAAAGCACAAATACATACCGACATGGGTAGTAGGACAACCCTCGAAACTTTTGGTTTGTCCTCAACGCCCACCGCAAACAGGGCAGCCTTAGAACATGGGGGTTGATCAAAAGATCCCGTACATAGGATGACCATTGGTTGGAAACCGTTAAGACGATACAAGACAATGTACCCAGTAAATCGGACAAGCTACCCTTGCTCATTTGGGAGCCGAAGGGAAAACCAGATCAACCCCCATATACGTTCCAGGACCTATGTCATAACATGAGTCGAACGGAATATTGATCAACACCCCACAGCGTCCTTGGGCTTGCCAGGGCAAAGCTCCGCCCGGGCCGTGGCCTCCGACCCCCCCGCCGACCCGGCTGGGGCCGTACTCGAAGCGGGAAGGAAGGGGAGGGAAGCTTTGGGCCCGAGCGAGCGTGGGACTGACTTCCTGAGTTCCTGGTCACTTGAGTGAGTCACTTTGTTGGTTTGGCCCATTTTTTCTGGCAAAAAAAGTTTGCATGTTTTTTGGGCCCGTCCACCTTGGAAGTGAGTGAACCTGAAGAACCGGTTCCTTTGCTGTGGTGCATTGCTCCAGGTTGCCAAAGGTACAATGTCCAACAACCGCGACTTTTGCGCTGAGGCTGCCATATCGAATGAACACCTGGTAGAATGATGCGACAGCAATCACTTTTTCACGTGGTTGGTTCTTTCATTGTTTGCCTAATGTCCCCTTTTCTTCCACCAGGAAAGCGGTTCTGAGCCTCCGCATCAGCACCAAGCTCACGTCATATTGTCCTCCCTGTGTTCAGGTCCCCTTGATTGGTGATTTGCATGGGTTCAAACATGTTCCCAGCCCCAGCTTCTCCAACATCCACCCCCCAATCCAGAATGGTATCCCTCCAATCAAGGGACCTATGAACAAAGAACCCGACATAATTCCCCCTCCACTGGAATCAATAGGGCGGGGGGGGGGGAGGGTGGAGGAACTATGGACATATCCTAATGGAATACGGGACCTATGAACATCAACAAAAAACCAACATCATCCCATATCCTTCCCAATGGAATCAATGGGCGGGGGGGAGGAACCTAAATCCCTCCAATGGCATGGGACTCCCTCCAATGGAATGCCTTTCTTTGCGAAGGGCCTCAGCGAAGCACCCCTTGGAATGAGAAGATATGAAGAGATATCACAGAGAAGTGGGCTCAGGCTTGGGGAAACCACTTTCGATTCTTGCACACCCCAGTCACAGTCCCTGATTTAGGGGGAAACAGCTTTCTGCAGCGCACCCAATATCCCAGCGTAAGCCGTATAGTGCGACTTGTTTGAACACGATGCGTGTTCCGCTCCGTGCTTCGCGCAGCGGCAGCGGGAGGCCCGGGCCTGGCGCCGGGCGCTGGGCGCGGGGGCCGCGCTGCGGCGCCAGCGGCTGCTGCAGCTGGCGGCGCAGCAGCTGCGGCCGGGCGCCGGGTGGGGTGGGGGTGGGGTGGGGTGGGGGTTGGGGTTGGGGGGTGGGTTGTGGGGGTTGCACAGAGGGTTTGGGAGGTTGGAGGGTGAGGGGATTGGCGGAGATAGGGTGTTTAGTGCTACTTGTTGCCCACTTGGTATCACATGATGCTGCTTTTCAACCCCACAGGCAGGTTGAAGGCAATAATGACAATGGCGATAGCGATACCAATAGTACAAGAACATAATGACTATGCTAATGGAAATAGCAGCAGCAGCAGCAGCAGAAGAACAGCGATAGCAAGTTTGACCATGCTGACTCTATTCGTTTTGATTGTGGAAGATAAACCGAAGAGCTTGACTTTCAGTGGACAACGGTCAGAACTGATTGCTCATGTTGGTAAGTCGCGTTGGATACGAATTGTATTTTTGGACCATTTTCTTTTTAGTAGGGATGTAGTAACAGCATACACCTTTCGGGGCTTGAGGGACACGTAAGTGTGGGGGTTTGATGGGAAAGGCCTATTCAACCCGCTAAGTGACTCAAAGGGAAAGCAGCCCTGAGTAGCATGGCCTGCAGGCCATGGGTTTTCTTTCAGATTAGTTTGGTTCAACAGATGCATTCTACTTGTTCTTAGCCACCTACGATTGGGGTGGATGAAGGTTAGGGGACTGCGACTTGCCCAAGAAGTGCTGATTTGAACGTGAGGAAGTTGAATGACGGACCCATCACAAGACAGGTTCCAAAAGGAGGCCGCTAAAGGGATGTCGAACGGCTAAGTCTGGTCCAGACCCGAGGAAGATCACGTGCTTGGTTCGAGATCGCTGATGCTCGAAGAAGCCAACTAGCTGATTGTTCTTGCTTTGCTGCACGTAATTTACCATCTGCAGGTCCATGATCAGGGGACACGTATGTTGACATGCTTAATGTTGTTTGCAAGCTTCCCATGTATTCTTTCGACTTGCGGAGAAGGCCTGGTGTACTTTCGCCCTTAAGCATTTTGCTGAGTTTGAGGACCCAGGCCCCTTTCTTGTACCATTCCCACCATTTCACGCTGTCGCCGGATCCGCGGCTGTTCTACTAGGATTCATGTACCTTGTAAACCTTAGTTTCCACTTTTCCAGCAAAGCGAACTGCGAAAGTCGCATCACGTGAGGGTCGGTTGACATTTCAGGAGTCATAGTGCCTTTGGGAGGGACTCTCTGAGTTTTGCCACGAAATCCAAGGGACTCTCGAATCTCCTCTTTGGGAGTGTCTCAAAATAGGGCGCCCCTTAAAACAGATGGTTTTTGAAGCGCAACCAAAAGGAAGCCACCTATCCGGAGGGGTCCCCAATTTTGAGAAGCACCTATCTCCACCAGGACGGCTCATATGATGAAATATGTCTCTTGGCCCACCTTGTTGTGCTCCCAGGTCGCCACGCGCGCTGCTGACGCTCGGCCACGCACAGGGGGTTGGGGCTTTCTGTTTGGATGTGGCTGTTGGGGTTGGAGGCTGTTTGGATGCCCCTCAAAATGTGAAGGACATGCGGCGAAAAGCGTTCTCCGTGGATTTGACGGCAATACGTTTGGAAGCAGGTGTGGTGCCTTTGCGCTTAGCTCGATGTCTGCAGGCGACTCTGATCAAGCGGGGGGGAACCATCCGGGTTATGGCCTTTTCCTTGAAGATGGCCCTGAAGGGGGTCCAGGAGGCCTCCTCCGTCTCCGAGCACGGCCTGCGGAGCGTGGTGGCCGTCCTGGACCACCTCGAGTCCAGGACCGAGGACATCGAAGAGTGCCTCCTGAAGTTCAACCGGCTCCTGACCTCGACGCTGAGCTCCAAGACCCTGGAGCTCATCGCGGCCTCTGCCTTCCCACAGAGCATCGTGAAGACCATCAAGCGCCACCTGGAGAACCCTCCGACCCGTTGCCCGCACTTTGCCTTTTGCCACTTTCGTCTTTCTTTGCTTTCCGACTGTCCGGGGTGTGGCTTGTTGCGCCCTTGTCTCTTTTGCGACTTGCTGCCACCCGACTTTGCGATCTTTTTGTTGGGTTGCCCTCATCCTTTTCCCCTCACCCCCTGGCCCAAACGCAGCAACAGAAGTCCCCGCCCCCCTCCTTCCCTTTGCGACGTGCCTGTTGCACGCCTTCGCCGCGCTCGGCCGCGCCCCCGCCTTCGCCCGCCTTCGCCCGCCTTCGCCGCGCCGAGCGCCGGGGCCGAGGATCGTGGCCTTCGCGTGCCAGTGCATCGCCCGCTCCGCGACCTCCGTGGAGGCGGCCGGGAGTTTTGTGCGCGCAGGCGCCCTGGACGAGGCCTTCGCCGCCATGGACGCGCACAAGGCCCGGTTCGTTAGACCTGCGGGGTTTTAAATTTCTTGGTGATTTGTAGATCCCCTGTAGGGTCTGGCAGATTTTTCGGTTTTAAGTTGGTTTCAGGGTGGTTTCCATCTAACTTGCTGAAAGCTAAACTTCGAGCACGGGGTCTGAGGACAGGCCAGCTTGTGATCGGTTAGTTTGGGGAGGTATATACACGCACACAGACACACAAGGGTTTAGATGGGTTTTAGCCATCCATTCGCCAGGGGAAACCATTTGGTTTTACCAAACGAGCACCTATGTCTTCAAACCCCAAGCTGGTTCGGAGATTGGTGGTTTGGAGGTGAGGTGTGGAGGTTTTCAATTCACCCTCTACGAATAAACCGGGGGGTGTAAATCCAAAAACCCTCTACAAGATTCACGGTTTTGCAAGACTCCGACTCCAAAGCAAAGACCGTCAAGAACCACGGGGTGTGCCGTCCCTTTGACCTAGGCCCACGGCGGCATCCAAAACGTGGCGCTGTTCCTCCTGCGAAACGTGCTGAAGGACCCCAACGCGGCACGCCAGGCAGTAGCCGGCGGGGCCATCACCCGGGTATTGGCCGCCATGAACCTTGGTTCTGAAGCGAAGCGATGTCGACTCCAATTGGTTTCCTTGGAGGGTTTTTTCCCTTGACTCCTTTGGTTTGAGGTGGATTCCTTTTGAAACTTTTTTTCCCTTTTGGGTTCAGGGCTTTTCCGGTGGATTTGATTTGTTCGAGCTGATTCTTCCCTTCTTGTGTTTGAGTTTGACCCTGGATCTGACCCTTGGACATTTTTTCCCCCTTATTTTTTGTCACGTTTCTCCCATGCGTGGTTTTGAAATGCCGCCTCTCCGTTCGAGGAACCTGGCCACGGGGCGGGAGATCCAGTTCGGAGGCCTGGTGTCGCTGCGGCTCATGATGGAGGCCTCGCGGGCGAACCGCTACTACTGGCAGGAGAGCTTGAAGGTGGCCAGGGCCTCCATCCAGGAAGCTGGCCTGCAGGCGGGGAGATTGGGAAGTGGTTGCTTGGGAAGTGGTTGCTTGGGAAGTGGTTTTCGGTTGGATGCTGGGTTTGGGCGGGCTTTTGGGTGGTTGGGTGCAGATTGAAGCTCTTGCTTCCTTTTGGTGTTCATTTGGTTGCCGTTTGGTTGTGGCAGAAAGCACCAGTCATAGGTTCATCCGACACTTCGCCTCTTGCCCTTTCGCTCCTTTCGCAGGGTTGGCTACGCTTCCCCTTTTCACCTGGTGGGCCAATTTTTTAATCATGACAGGGTGATGTTTGTGTTGGAAAGCAATGGGTATGTATCCCAACATCGGGGACTCCAAACATTTTTGCCTGATCATGTCCTTTGAACTCCACAAAAGGCAGCCCTCAAAACAAAACACCAAATGGCTTTGTCTCAACAAATATACGGGAACCCCCGCCCCCCCCCCCAAAAAAAAAAACAACAACAACCAAACAAACATCAAAAGCACACATCACGAGAAGAGCCACACACATCAATCCTTCCGGATTCCCTTAACCAAAAGGGGCTGGAGGCCAAGCGGCTCCCCGAACTTGTTCGAGCCAGCCGAGACGCAAACCTCAGGCCAAGGTGAACCACCAGTCGGACGCGGCGCTGTGCCAAGCCGCGGATGATGTGCTGGCACTGGTGATCCCCAGGTTCAAGGAGCGACTTTTGGAGGATGTTTGGATCTCCCTCCAAAGAAGGGGGTGGTTTCCCTTTGGCTTCAGACAGAAACAGAGGTTTCCCTCATAAAATCACGCACAAAGTGTTGCCCAACACAAGAAGCAAAGAATAAAGAACAGGGTGCACCCCGCCCTCACCCCCAAGTCTCGCCCTCACCCGCAAGTCTCCTCCTTCGGTAGGAGGTGCCCTGTTGGCACTGGCAGAGTGGGTGGTGCAAGATGGGGCCCAAGTGCACCTACGCCCACGGCAGCGATGACCTGCGGACCTATGGCAAGGCATCTGGCAAGGGCGCCTACCGCCGCGAATGAGCGAGTTGAGAATGAACGGATGTCTAGGCAAAGGTCTGAGTCAGGCATTCAACTGCATTCATGTTCTAGATCCCCCCCTGTGAAATCGCATGTAAAGTTTTGGCAGAATGATCTTGACCTTCTGCGCTCTTTCAACGAACAAGGCGCGCAGCTGGTCGGGCGTGGGGGGAGCTTGCAGCCAGGCTTTGCAAGGCAGAAGCATTGAAGCCCAAGGTCCCCTTGACACGTTTCTTCTTTAAAAGAAAGCCACCAAACAGAAGTCAACGACCCATGCGGAGGGGTCTTCGGGATACATTCAGATTGGCTTCTTCGGTTTTCTCGGCCTTCGGATGGGGCCAGCTGAGGCGCGCCACAGCATTGCGGGCACAGGGAACCCAAGGCGAGGGGGCGTGGGGTGGTGAGAAGGAGGGGTTTCGTGGCCAAAGAAATCCGCCCAGCTGCTTTTGAGGATCCGATGCTTGGTGAAGCAAATGGCTTGGCTGTGGGGCTTTGGGTTTGCCAGTTTCTGTGAGCCAGGTAATTCAGTAGTCATGGGGATCAGCCACCTGTTGTTCTATGCTCCAGAATGCCTTTGCGATGTGTCTGGCATTGAGTTACGTCGATGGCTTTCAAGAGTTGCAGGGAGGACGCCGGCCATTCCAGACAAACTGCTGTATTGCCGGGCAGTTTTGGCAGGGTCCCTCAACTTGGACACATTTCCGGTGAGAGAATGCCTTTTACCAGCTCTAAACGATTCCCTTGTGGCGTATCGTTTAAGGAGTCGGTGTGCTTCGCTTCCAAGAGATCTCTTGCAATGGACGCGGCCAATCGCTGGGCTCGGGTACACCGACGTTACACCTCTTTCAGCTATATCAGACATGTTTGGGCCCGTAGATTCGTCACTAATTCTGGGGGATTTTCCAGGCTCCAACAGTGTGAAGCTCCTAGAGATGCAGCTCAGTGATCTGTTGCTGTTGCGGTTGCTGTTTGGGCTTATCTTTCAGTTGCTGCCTCGAGGCACGCCGCTTCCGCATGCAGCGCTTGAAGCCGCTCTCTGTCGCTTGGCTGTGAACTTACCGAACTTACGATCGCATAGGACTTGCATTGGGTCGTTTTTGCTATTACTATTTTTGAAACGTACACCAACCTAAGTACTTCAACTCCCAATCAAAGCCCAATCTGTAGGAGTCGCAACCACCGGTTGCGGGGCGTTTTGTCCCCCTTTTTCCGAGGCCGCGACCCTTCGGCGGCGGTACGTCAGGCAGCCATCCCTTTGCTGGGCGAGGCCCGGTTCGGTGATCTTCTGAAAAAGGCAGGTCCTCGGCGGATTTGTTGGAATTCAAGCCAAGAGGTTGGAAGAGCCCTTCTTTTGCGGGTCCTTGGAAGACAAAGGGTTGGGTTGGTCTTTGGAGTTGGTCGCCTCGGGGTGGTGTCCCTTTTTCACCAAACCGGTACCCTGCAAGAACAAGCACCAAAAAGCCCAGTTGCTCAAAGTCAATCCTTTTTCGTGGAGTCTATGATGGTACAAGGCTTCCCTCGTGTCCCACTTCAAGTTGCGGAGGATAGGGAGCCCCCCATGTTGAAGGAACGGCTTTAGGAGACGTCCAAGCAAGCGACGCGCGGAAGTGAGATGCAAGCGGCTTTTTGTTCGGATTGGAGTCAAGCATGGTCGGGATTGCATGTTTGTCTGCAGAGTATTTAGCCAAGGACAGCGCAGGACCTACCCGTGAGGCTTGCAAGTGAAGGGCTTGTTCTCTGTTTGTCGCCCCAAGTTTCTGCTTTTTCAAGCTAAGCCCCCAGTTTGTGCAGTTCCAGATTTGATCAAGATCCGCCGAGCAATCTTTCGCCTTGCCTTTCGGCTCGATTCGATCACGTAACACAAAACATAGGGACGGTTCGCAGCTGAGGACACATCACGCTTGATGCCTGTATAGTGGAGGCATGTTTTGGATGGTCAGGTAGCTCAGTTTGCATCTCGGGCCTTGGTTGTGTGTACCAAGGATAAGTGTTGTCCAAAACTCTGTTTGAGTTGTGCGTTGTGGTTTGGCCAAGGTCTCTTCGCCTCTTCGGACTTGATTTCACTGGCCGTTGCAACAGAACAAATATGCCTTTGCTCACTTTCGGCCTTTGGGCACTCCCTTGGTGCACCCCTACTCTGTTTCACATACACGGCTTATTTTAGTGCAACGTGTCAAACAATCCCGCGTTGACCCCCAGACCCGAGCCAACAAATCGGCTGAGCGCCGAGCCTGGCCTGCGCTTGTCGCATCCATCGCTTCGGTTGCCATGTGGTGGCTGGGCCTCCTGGCGATCGCTACCGGCGCCTCAAGCAAAGCCATGGGAGCCAGGGGACAGGGATGGTTCGCCTTTGGTCGGGGTGAGTCAGGTTGGGAAGGGAGGATCTGGGCGTGCAGCTTGAGAGCTGGTCAGGCTTCCGGCTCTGCTTCCTGATGTGTCATGTTTTATGGCTTTGGCTGTCTCATCAGGTCTCTATTTTGGTATGTTTGGCTAGATTGCTGCTCGCTGTGTCAGTATGGCTTTGATTCTGACTGAGTTGCCAAAGGTGGGAGTTTCGAAAGAGCCATCCCAGACACAGGCGAAATTCCAGTGGCTGTCGGACTCTCCTTGGTACCCTGGGACTCTTGCTGAGGAAGGCCAAAGTTTCTCGCGTGAGGCGATCTTTACAAACTGCCGTCCGAGCAGCCGACGATCCTGGAGCATTGCTTCTACCAAGACTGGTTGCTCGGCAAGGATTTGGGACAATGTTCCGGGGTAAGCCATGTTGGAACAAACAAATGAGACCCCCCCCCCCCCCCGGCCGCTGTCTTTTCCGGTTCTTGTCGCTCAAACGAGTCGGTTGACGTTCCCATCGCCTCCCAACGCCTCCCGCCTCCCGCCTCCCGCCTCCCGCCTCTCGTAGGCGCTACGTGCCGGCCTTGGGCGTGCCCTCCCAGGAGCTGAGTTTGCGCAGCTGCCAGCGCAGGTGTCGGAACGAGGCCGGCTGCCGGCGCCTCGGCGGTGGCGCTCTAGGGGGGGGGGTTGGGGTTGGCGAGTCGTGCCTGGTCCACTGGTGACGAGGAAGGGGTTTCGAGGCGCTTTGGGAGTGGTCCTCGGATGCATTTCTCGGGGCGAGTCAAAGTGTTAACGTGCCTGCTGCCAAGGAAGGGATTTTTGGGTGGTCTAAGGGGCGACTTGTTTAGGGATTCAAGTTGTTGGGATGTTGGGATCAGGGCAAGGGGATGCTGGGACTTTCGATGCTGATTTTTCGGGTCAACAAGAAGACATAACCGGTTTAGACACTCTTCTTTCCGTTTCCCTAGGGAGCAAACAAGAAAAGGGTTGAGGGAGGCAGAGTGAGGCATGGTGATTGCATTTTCAATCACGGGGCTTTACTGGGTGGAGGGGACTTCGGGATGTGAAGTAGAGAGATGGTGCTGCGAATTTGGGTGTCTTGGAATTGAGGTTCATCAGCTACTGGGGATCTGGCCATTGTGTCCTCTCTGGCGAGGATGCCTATGCCATCAAGGAGACTCGTACCCTGATCTCAGGAATGCATGGACATTTGATTGGACACCGCTCTTGGTGGCGTGTTTTGTTCGTGTTTGACAGGGGCTGCCTGAAAACTGCAGCCTTTGATAGGTTGTGCTCATGGTCCGTCTTTGATGCAGAAAACACCCCCATATGTTTTTGTAGTGTTGGCCACTTCAGATTCATACTCAAATGGTAATCTTCCTTTTGGTTTTAATGAACATGACAACTGAAAGTGGGGTCCATGTATTTTCAACCAAGCTGGCTTTGGGGATACCTACTGTAAAAAGCAACACATCCATTTCGCATCACCTTTCAGAAGCCGTGGAATGATTCGATTCCCCAAAATAAGCACCAACAAACGTTACTATGGTTTTGAACATGGCTTCCAAACGGTGGTGCGAAATGGATTTTGCGTCCATCCACCGTATTCGCCAACCTATCAACAGCCCCCATGTTTTTATGTATCCAAGTCACCCCTTCTTAGGTAAGAGTGAAACCACCCAGATCCTGACTTTGATGAACCCCCCCCCAAAAGAAGAGCGAAGAAATGGCCCAGACGCCCCTCGCACCCCGCACGCCCCCCCGCCCTGTGCCCGGTGCCCGGTGCCCGGTGCCTGCGAAGCGAGGAGCTCTACGCCACCGCGGGCCCTCGGAACTGCAGCCAGGTGCTGGCGAGCTGCCGCGAGAGGCGGGCGAAGCGCGGGGACGGGGACGCTGGGGGGCCCAAGGAATCCCCCCCCGCCCAAATTTGAGGTCCACCAAAAGCTCCACCAAAATGGACACTCATATCTAGAAAAATATATCCAGTGGAATCGATTCCCTTTTGCAACCGACAGGTTATCAAACATGAGGATCTGCCGTTTTTTCGAGCCTCGGCTTTTTGGTCTGTGTTAAAGGGAGACCAGGGGTTGCCTACAAAAGACACGCCCATGTGTTGTTGATGTGGCACGAGCAAACCACTAGATTTCCCAATAGATCAGAGCTTCTCCGTCGGAGTCGTCAAGGGCTACCTGCAGAGATTCGACAAGGCTCCCTCCTTTTGGGCTGTTAGGCGAGGATACCCTCGGGTGATGTTCCCTCGAAGGAGCACTGGGAGCCTTGAAACCTGTTAAGGCCATGTGGCAAGCCTAGATAGCGCGGCGACGGGCAACTTGCAAGTTGGTTCGAGGGCCTGTTTTGAACTCAGGTCTTTTGTTTTCCTTGCTGTTTTGAGCGTGCCTTTTGTCGGTTGGTTAGGGAGACCAAAACAAAACACAAAATCCATTTCACCCCCCCCTCCCCCCCTCCCCCCCACCCTCTGTGTGAGTACCTGATGGACCCTTACAATGGAGGAATCCTGTACCTTTGATCTCAGGATTGAGCCCTTGCGCTCCCAGTTCCGGGACACAAAGACTCGTTTTTCAGGCCAGGCCCGAGTTTCCCCGGCGCCACGCGCATCGAGTCGGCGGAGGCCAGGCGAGTTCGGGTCGACCTGTCTAGGTCTTTTTTGGAGGGTTCCCCTAAAATAGAAAACAGGAAAATTTTGGTACCCGTATTCTAACCTCTCTGGAGGATCTGTGGATCTTTGAGTTTTCCATGCACTGTGTCCTTTAGGGAACTGTCTGAAGGCTCCATTGTTTGGCTACCTCCAAGGTTCACCCAAACCAATGGGTTTCCATTCCTTTGGGGGGCATGCTCAATTAGGGTCAGTCTTTGACATGTCAAGCAAGCATGTGCCATTTGCTTTGCTGCGCAACTTCGGCCGGGTGTTGCTTTGGCCGAGTGTTGCTTTTGCTTTTTGCATATGTGGGGATCCCCCCCAAGCAAGAATGTGTGCTTTACATCCAGTTTCCCAACGAAAAAAGTACCACCTCAATAAAGACAGGATGCACCCAGTTATCTTCTGGCGGTTCCTGGAAATTGGAATGATCTTTAAATTCTTGAGCGCACGGACGTCATTGGCTCCCCACTCTGGGTTACGCTCTACCTTGGAATTGGGCAGGGATACGTCGTTGACAAGGTGGCTAGGGATGATCATTGATGAGGGATGGTCATGGCTGGTCATTGGATGTTCATTGAACAGTTGAGCGATCGAGCTACGCAACGTGACACCTCCTGAAGCACATGAGACACCATCGAGCTGGTGGAACCAACCGGAAACCTGACGCACCGCCTGGAAACCAACGCCTGCGTGTCGAGTTCCTGGCCCCAGGCATGGCCCTCCGGGCGTGTGCCCTTCCCGCTGGAGTGCTGGCCACACACTGCCGGGGTGCTGAAAGGCTGTGGCACAGCGCAGGCACGGTACGGGGGCGTGCGGGGTGAACACAAGCAGGGCTTCCAATACAGCCGAACGCCTGGCAGCTTCAATGCCACTGGCCAACTAGGCAAGGCTGCAGTAGCTGGTTGCGTGGTTTTGTCCCACATATGGCGTAAATGAGAAGAAAGGATGCAGACATCCTGGGCAACTAACAGACAGTTCTGAAGGTTGGGAGTAGTTGGCCACAATCAGTTTCAGGGAGTATGATATATGATATCTTGCCACACCCCACTCGCTTGGCAGCTAGAAAGGTTTGAAGAGACCCTTGAACGCGCCTGGAATCATTGTGGAATTTGCATGAAACTCCCCACCAGCAACCGAATCTCCTGGGCTCCTTGAATTCAGTCGTGAAGCCTCCGAGGTACTGCAAACTCTGGACCATGGGCTAGCAGCCAACTGCCGCAACCTGGAAGAGGTCTCGGCCACTTGGCCAGGGGATGGCCCTTCACGTTGCTGGTTGGTCAAATGCATCTCTACCAACTTTCGGGTTTTAGACACAGAAAGGACTTCGCAACGCCAGAAGGATGTTGCTCGGTTGTCCTCTTTCGGGCGACTGAAGCACGCCGCGTGTCTTGGCGCTGCGAGTGTTGAGAGCTGTCCTATGCCCTGTGTGATTTTGGGTCATTTGTTTTTGCATTTGACAAATGACCTCAGGCTGCATGTTGCTCGTGTTTACGTTCCTGAAAGAAGGCGACAGTTGCTTGATTGGGTGTCGTGCTGATTTTTGCCCAATATCTCGGTCTGTCCTTTTTTCTTGGTGGACACCCCTTCTGTTTGTTTTTTTAAGAAACGCCAAAATGAGAACCGAACCCCCGCCCCCCCCCCTTTAAGACGCGCGAGCCGCCCGCCCCAGGTGCCCCTCTACCAGACCTGCACCTCGCTGTGCGCCAAGACGCCTCTCTGCTCCATCGCCGTGGAGAAGGAGAAGGGCTGCTTCCTAGGCGAGCCATGTCTCGGCCCCGCAAGAAGTCGGCGGTTTCGACGTTCTTTCGTTCTTTTTAAATGTAGGCTAGCTGCATAAAAGCCAAAAGACCATGTGGCCGGCTTGGCCCTCCAAGTAGTCGGCGGTATGTTCTTTTTGTTTTTTTACATGTAGGTTATCTACAAAAACACTAAATTAATGTGGCCGGCTTCTTGTTGTTTGAAAAAAGCGACACCGCTCTGCTAAAGATCCTTGTTTGCGTTGTGAGAGGCAAAATGACGAGCGGCCTGGACTGCCACAAGGGCGAAGATGGGAGGCAGGGGCGTTTCGAGGGCCCCGGCTCGAGGAGAGTGGTGGGCCGGTTTGTATAACACCGAGCCCCCAAAAGGGTACAAGAGGACGCACCCTTGTGGACCGTTGGAGGTTCTCAAAAGGAGAAACTCGCAGACCCGTCACATGCAAACCCGTTTCACGGAGAATCAACGGTGCCAAACAGATGGGGTTGAGTTGTTTTGGTGCCCTTTTTAGGATGGTGCAGAAAGACAACCTCTTTGACACCCAGATTTCTTGTTTGTTTCCTTTGCGTTTCCATCCTTTCAACCAAAGGATTTATAACATTGTTCTTGTTAGGGGAACCTGCCATGTCCATTCTTTCTAGGGATCTGAATCTTTCCAGGACACCATCTTAAAAGGCTAGGGGAAACAGCGATACAAGTAGGTTTTTGAAAAGAACATGGTCAAACAGAGTTGGGAATCGACCCTAGATTGTTAGTGATGCTTTGCTGTTTCCAAAGGGTAGCCAGAAGTGTTGGAACGGGACTTATCAGGATAGCACCTACATGAGCCAGTTTTTCTGGTGTATCAAACGCGTAGCTCAGGAGCAGTTTGTGTCGAGTACCTTGCAAACGCCCACTTCAAAACTCCAACAGATCCCTTTGGTTTGCATTTCGGAACCAGCCCCCTCTCGCATTGTCCTTTTGCCCTCACCGAAGCAACCCCCAATTAGCCAACCCTAAACCCCCAACAAGCCATCAAGCCCAAAGGAAGGAATCGTCCAGCCCGATAAACACCCCCAAAAAACCAACAAGAAGCAGAACAAACAACACCAAAAAAGAACAAACAAAACAAGAACAACCCCACCCGACCCACCCCCCACCCGACCCACCCCCACCCCACCCACCCCCACCCCACCCCAACTTCGGGAGGATCCTGCGCGCCGCGCGGATGTTGCAGGGCCAGGTGCGGGTGCTCAAAGACCTGCGGGGCCTGCAGGTGCAGGGCCTCATCAAGGCCCGGGCCGAGCGAGACCCCCCGGTGGATCGGATCGGATCCGGCGCTCGAGCTTTCTTTTTTGTTGGCGCAGAAGGGTACCCATTTCAGGTGGGAGAAAATGGTGGGGTGGCGCTCGTTTTTTGTTTTTGTTCCGTTGGCGGAGAGGGGTGCTTAGGTGGGGTGGGGGGGCCGGGGGGGGGGGGCGGAACCAGCAAAACACTGAAGGCACGCCCATTTTTGACCTCAGTTACACCACCCTTTGAAAGTTCGGACCATTTAGTCTCCAGCCCCTATTTTTGGACCTGGAGTGGACCTACCCGCTGCCCCTTGCAAGAAATGAGACTTGTCCGGTCAGGCATACCTGAGGGCCGCAGGTGCTCATATAACTCTCGGGTGGAATCGCCATGTGTTTTTTCAGGTCCCGCCATCAACTGAACATATCATTCGAGATGAAGCTGCCTATCATTCGAGATGAAGCTGCCTGGGTCAGCTGTGCTTTGTCTTGACGGTCGACTTGCATCGAGCACACCGGCAAGTGTTCCATATGCGAGTTTCTCAAAATGGACTTCTTTTCGTGGATTTTTCAAGGGAAACCAACTGGAACCAGCCATTGTACGGAGCCCCTTGTTTGAGAAACACCCATGTATACAGAATAATACTGCATATGTACATATACAAATATATATATATATATATCTATATATATATATATATCTATATATATATATACACAAATATTTGCACACCCGAGTCTCATTGAAACAACTTTCTGCATATTGACATTAGAACATAGCGAGACTCTTGAGAAGTCCGGGTTTGATGCCTGGACTGTCACTTGAAAATGCAGCCAAAGCTGGTGTGTGTGGGTTCTAGGATCGGTGCCAAGCAGAGGGTTTTAACAGGCTCCAGAGCCGTGGCAAAGTGCAAGTTCGGACATTTTGTTGAACCTTGCAACACATCAGAATGCACATGGACCCTTGTGGTGAGTGCCATGGTGCGGAGGGCACCCTTTGCATATTATGGGTATTTCATTCACTGGGTCCCAAAAAGTGAGGGTGTTCTCACCTTTGAACCACCACTTGGCCAATTTCGAGGATGTCTGACCAAAATTCACCCTGTCTTATTACCAGTTTCTTCATGGAACCCAGCAAGGGCAGAGATTCAGCATCACTTCAGCTCCAAGCCGTGGCTATTGGGGGTCAACCCCGACTAATGGCAAGGCTTTTGCCTTTGGTTCCCCTGCAAAACCCTCTCGTTTAACAGGCGCCCTCACAAAAAGACGAGCCACCCACCGGCAACCCCCCCACGGTTTTCTTGGTTCGAACCCCAGGGTTCACGGACCCAATGAAGCAGAGGAGCATGGCCAAGAGAGCGCTGACTCGTACAAAAAAAACCTTAAAGGAGTCGCATTCTGAGAGGTTCTCAAGCAAGTATCTGTTATGCTTTGGGTTGCTCCTCCCCAAAGGTTCTATGATTTTGTTCAAGGAAGGGGTGAGACAAAAAAGGGCTCCCTCAATTTCCTTGTTTTGGACCTCCAAAAACGGCGATCGTTCTTCCATTGAACTCACCAGTAAATTGCCACTTTTTGGTGGGGGAAACCTAGTGACTCCCTGCCAAAAAAAGGTTGGGAGAGCTTTCATGAATTGGCCCCTCCATGTTTTCCTTGTGGTTTCTGGCCTGCGTTGCTTTTGTTTGACCCCCTCCCCTCCCCCGTTTCCGAAGGCCTTCGATGAGATGGAGCTGCAAGGTGATCCGCGGACGGAGGGTGTGAGGGCCTGCAGACTGGCCTGCTACTCCAGCTTGCTGTGCACCATTTGGCAGTACTACATCGGCAAAGGCGGGAGGCGCTTTTGGGCGAGTCTTTGGCGTTTTTGTTGGAGGTTTTGGAAGCTTTGCCCCGTTCTGTTGAAGCGACTTAGCGATTGCTTTGCCGAGATGTCGTTTTTTGAGAGGTGTTTGCGTGGCTCCGTGGTGGCCATGGAACTGCGAATGTTCTCAGTGGATTTTCGCCACCGCGCAGCTGCAGCAAGCCGTGCGCGCCGCAAAAATGCGCCCAGGCTGCTGGGTGGAGGAGCCAACCACGTGGAAAGTCCAGTTGCCCGGCAGGTCGATTCAGTTCGGAGCGCATCGGGTCGCCGCTGGCGATAGGGGTGCCAGGTGGCCCATGGGGAGGACCTTGCAGACAAGAACAAGCAAGAGGGAGTTTGGAAGCATCCATTACCGCGTTGCGAAGAATGGATGGTTTCCTGGTTTGGAGGTTAGCTGCCTTTCCCGCGTCTTGAGTCTCAATTCTTGCCGGAAGGCGCTGAGCAGAGTCTCCTCCGATTGTTGGCCCCTGGGAGGCGCTAACCCCCCGAAATGATGTCCACCATACAAACAAATTTATGGCCGTCTACAGAAGTTTTGTTTTTCTGGACAAAACAAATGTTTATTCCGAACTCGCGCTTGTATTCTTGTGTCGCATGTGTGGAAACGTTGGTTTCTAATGGAGGAACAAACATGTTTTCGCGCGAAAGGTGTGTTTCTGTTTCGAAAACGCATTCTTCCTGTGAACGTTTGTTTTGCCATGGGAAACTTCTCGAAAACCCCAGAATGGCTACTTTGGAAACTTGGAAAACAAATGTTTCATCGCAGAGTTTAGTTTGTTTGGTTTCTTGGAAACTCTGAAAGTAAACTCACTGGTAGAAGGTTAGTTTCGCATACCAAAACATTCGTTCCGAACAGACTATTGTTTCAGGGCTGAAAACACTCCTTTCGTGAACTCGGGCTGTGAGTTTGTTTCATGGCACTCCAACTCAAGTTTCGGAGGAAGGTTTGTTGTGCCCGCCGAAACGTTTGTTTCTAAACCTTTCTTTTGGTCCAGGCAATTGTTTGTTTCGAAAAATGTGTTTTTGCGCGCCGGCCACGGGCGCGTCTCCGGCTCCGCCACAGCGACTGGCTCCGCCACCTTTCCGGCTCCGCCGCAGCCACGGCCACTGGCTCCGCATGCGACCGATATGCGGTGTGCATTTTAATGCATCAACGCCTTTCTTCGACTTTCCCGTGCCTGTGGCATGCGTTTCTGTCTGCGTTTTGATGCAGCCGGTATGCAGATGAGTGCCGGAGCATCGCCGGACCGGAGCCGGACCGGAGCCGGAGCTGAGACGGAGCGGAAGGTTGAGCGGAGGCGGATCGGATCAACGCGAGGGCGGGCTGGATGGCTACTGGAGAATGCGCTCGATCACAAGCAACGGTCAGAAAGCCGAACAACAGCCTTCTAAAGAAGCAGGGGGTTGGGGGGGGGGGGGGGGCTGGCCCCTAAAATGTTCTTTTTCACGAAAGTTTGCGCACCAGATCGGCTAGCGCCAGAACGGCTTTTAGAACAACAAGGCAACACACATTTTTGGTTTTGCGCAACTTGTGCGTTTGTGAAGGGATTTTGAACTTACGAACGGTATTTCCAACACCGAATCCTAGGCACGGCCCATGACATGACGCAAAAAGACATAAACATGCACTGGACTGCGCGAGAATAACGCAATTATGGATTCCCAGCCAGCGATGTCAGCAACACAAGGTTCGGTTTGCTCCGCAAGCCCGAACGGTTTTTGCAGCACCAGTGTTGAGATTTCAACACCAAAACGGCAAAACGATCATCTTCCGGAAAAACGATCAAATTCCAGAGTTATTGGGGCAGCAGGTAGGAGAGCAGGCGCGCAATTGCTAACAAGAAGCCGCCCCCCCTCAAACAACAATCCGCGCTCCCCCCTGCCCCCCTTCTTCGCAGTAATCCACACTCCCAACAACAATTCCCCCGTTTCTGTTCGGGCATCCCCACCAACCACAATCCTGAACAATTACCCCCCCCCCCCCGAGGCCAAAAAGGTTAGTTTCCACCCGAAGTACATTTTTTTCGGCCCCAGAACCTGTGTTTTCGGGCCCTATACTAACGTTTTTTCGGCCAGGTAAACCTTTATCCTTGAGAAAACAAACTTTCTTTGTCTGAGTTAGTTTGTTTCCCAGCCCTGGGGGCGGCCGGCACCCTGTCACTGAGTTTCGCGCAAAGGGTTTCCACCGAAAAACTAATGTTTGTTACTCTAGTTAAGAAACTTCTGATTCGCTCCATATTCCATTTGGGTGACTTCTTTGGGCTGGTAAAGCAAAAATTGTCAATGCTGTATTAGTTTGAGACAAACCCAAATGGGTGCGTCGCTTTTCGTTGGGCGCTCCCACTGTTCCAAGTCCGAAGCCCGACTCGCTGAAGCCAAGCGTGCCATGCACTGGCCCAGGTTCCCCCTGACCAGTGCGATTGCCCCGAAGGGCGAGCTCACCATCGCGGGGGAGTGCTTCGGACCAACTGGATCCAAACAATTCAAGCAGTTCAAGCCATGGAGAGACGAGGGGAGGAATTTCTGGGGCAGCTCGGAAGTTGAAGTGCAGGCCCTGTCGTTTTTTTGTTTTTTATTTTTGGGGGGCAGCTGGCACGTCTTTTGGGGCAGGGGGCGCAATGGAGTCTAACCAAAACCTGTTTTTTTGGGCGGGTTTTGGTGGGTCTCCAAGTGGAAGCAGGTACATCCAGCACTTCTGTCCCGATGTGAGCTGGACCCCTTCCAAGGAGTTCGCGCTTCGTCGGCTTCGAAGGGGGACTTTGAACCTCAGGTTACCTCAGGTCTGGCTCGCTTGCCTGGTTTCATTGGGGTTGAAGCCCTGGGCCCTGTTACAACCGTTTTTCACTCGCGCTCAAAACCGACCACTCCGGAACATCTCCAAACCACCAATCCAAGCAACAAGTTGGTTTTGCCGCAAGGGGGGATGGGAGGGGTATGCGTGTGTTTTTGTTGATGGACCCTCTTTGGGTCATTCTACAGCGACGTTGTTATTTGGAGAAGCCCTTTAAAATGAGCTTTGGTCAACCTGCCTGCGTAGCCTATGGCCGATTCGTGGTTTGGCGCATTGTTGGGCTCACCAATGTTCGATCACACATACAAGCATACACACACACACACAAATACAGAGTCTCTCAAGGAAGAGTTCAGAAGGCACCTGATGTCCAAGCTGATATTTTGACATGACCATTACGGAAACCACATATTTAGGATTCCATAGCTATGCTCTGGAAGTTGAAGTTACGACAAGCTGCACCAACTCCGAAACCCAATCTCAAAGATCCCAAAGTTCATTCCCAAGTCCCCTAAACAAATCCAACCCAGGTCTCGTTCTCCGCACGATCGCCTCGCAGGAGTGGACGTTGGTTGCCAGCGGCATCAACTGCACCGGCGCTGCCAAGGCCAACACCGTCTTTCGGTCCTTTGGTTCCGTGTCTCAGGAAACAACCCCCAGCAAAATGATGGGGCCGTTTCTGAAGAAAAGCCCATGCGCCTCGTTGCCTTCAGATTGGTCACCTGGAGCCAAAGGAGTACCGTGGAGTGATGCTCTTTGGTCCGGTTTGAAGTTCACGTGTCCTCGTGATGTATCAGATTTAAGGCGCTTTTGATATTAATGTTTGGAGCACCTCTCTCCCTAAACCTATGTTTGTCCAGCCTGTAAGATAGACCTTGCTTTAAGGTCTACAAGTCTGAGTGGTCTACAGTTAAGTATTCGCTTCCTTCGAGCGTTGCCCTCTTTTCATGCAGGACACCTTGGTATTGAGCCAGAACATTAGTGGCATAAGCCACAGCATGCTTTTTGTGGGGTCGTAGCTTGGGAATGACCAAGAACTGCGATACCGTGCCTACTGCTTCTCAAGCGTCAAGAGCACAAGCCCTGGCTCAAGTTCGATGCACCTTATCTATGGTTCTTATCCCCCATCCCATTGGTCGGAAACCCCAAGGTACGAACCACATCCCCCCATGAGCACTTTTTGGCATTTGGATGGAACTCCACGGTAAAAAAAGCAACGTGAGACGTGCTCACTCCCGCCTCCTTGTAGAGCTCAAGCTCGTCGGTTTGGAATCTTTTCCCAGAGGATCCCCTTCTCGAGTCATGCTTGAAAACCGACCCCATGGTTCCCCAACCACAGAGACCGCAGAACATGCTTCAAACCATCATTCGGTGTTTTTTTCTAGGTTTTCTATGGGTGTTCCCATCCACAGAGACGAGTTGTACACCTTCCGCGCCAGGACCTGAGCGGCAGCAAGGCCATCACCGCGCTGGACTGCCAGCGCCGCGCCGCGGCGGACGAAGACCCCGAGGGGGGTGGGTGGGTGGGGTGGGGTGGGGTAGGGTGGGGTGGTGGGGTCCCAAGGTTCGATAGGCCAAGACTTGGGTGTGAGTCAAGATTAAGCCACCAGGGGACCGCAGGTTTTAGTCTTTGGTTCAGGGTTCCAATTTGGGTACCCATTTCTGAGCCACAGCCAGACTTCGCCCCCTGAGTTGGACCTGAGTCGTTTTGAGAGAACACTGGGTGGTTTCACCTTGACCGAGCCAAACGGAGCTAGCGATGAAGACATTGGCCGTAGCTTTCCCCTTCAGATGGCAACGAAACCTTGGGGAGCTGGGTGGGAAGTGGGAATCAACCCTAAAGGCAGGCATTTTTCCCAGGCAGTCAGGCTGACCTACCAAGGGGGGATTTGAGCATTAACTCCACGAGAGCTGAACAGGACTGCGGCACCCAACTCACCTCGAATGACATGGCCTGCTTTTGCGTGCTGAAGGCGGGGAATGGAACACATGTGAGATGGTCAGAGCGGAACTTTTCCTGGGGCTTGGTGGGGATGGTGGTCGGATGGTCAACCCTCGGATGCATTTTAGACCAATGCAAGGGGGGTTGGGGGTTCTCAGGCAGGGAGCCAGGACCATGACTCATGAGCTTTCGACCATGGCGTACAAGTTTTGAGGGGAACTCAGACAGGTCCGTTTACGTCTCATCATCATCTGGTTCAAGGGCCAAAAGGGCGAGATCGAAGTGCAACACCGCTGGCCATGGAGCGAACGCCACAGATCCAAAGCCAACCAGTCTCATGGTATGAGTCCTTGTGGAAAAGGTGCCACCCCCTCTTCGGCTTCCTGCGTTGAGAGGAGTGGTTGCACTCCTCAACCATGCCAATTCAGGCTTACTTGCCTCTGCACGACCCCATTTTCCTACTCAAATATCTTCAACTGCCATATTAAGTGATAGGTCCCTCTTTGGGGGTGGGTTTTTACCTCTAAGCCAAAAGGACCCCCCCCCTTTTGGGTGGTTTTGCAGGGAAACGAAGACGCCCCGCCGTTCCCTTCGACCTCACTCGGCATTCGAAGGGCCACGCCTGCGAGCGCCAACCCAGCGGCTTCGGCTTCGGACTCTACGAGCTCCAGACCTTGACGCCAGAGGCCCTCGCTCGCGGTTTTGGGTTGCTTCACGATCGAGATCTCTGGCTTGTTGTAGGTTTGCTTGATGCGTGTTTTGTTCAGATGTAGCTTGTGTGTCATTGTGTTGGTTTGTGTTTCGGTTTTTGGTTTGTTTGTTTCCGGGAGACTTGAAGGGTAAGGCTGTCATGTGAAGGGGGCAATCAGGCGGCAATCATGTAAAATGAGCGATCGTGGTGCGGGGGATCAAGAATCAACCACTCTTCCAATGTTGGGGAGGCTGTATTCAAGAACTTGCTAAGCAACTTCCATCCCCACAAATGTTTCTACAATTCCCACCTCTAAAATCATCATTCAACCCGAAGTAGTTGACGTACAAGTTGAGCTTGCCATAACCACCGCAGACCCAAAAGTCAAGGGAGCTCCTAGTAAACAGGCTCCGATCGCTTGCACAGGACACCAATGTGTTTTCCGCGTCCGATGTCGGAACCCATGCGTCACACATTTAGCGCCGTACCCAATGCGTAAGGTTCGTTGTTAGAAAACAACTAGGACCGGACCCCGGTTGACAACATATCCTTTGTCTAGCCAACGCAACCTGTGACCGAATATGGCTCACCCAAGACGCGTAGGTTGTCAACTCCATTTCGCACCACTTTTCCAAAACCCCACGGAATGATTCGTAAAGGTTTTCAAACCGCTGTGTTTCCCCTCATAGTAGTTTCAAGGTGGTGATTCCCGAACGCAAGTACCAAGAGTTGCAATGGTTTACCAGCTGTTTTCAGGGCATGTGTTGGAAAACCTGGTGTTCCATGGCAAATACCTCCAGCTTCAGAGGGTCGACATCACATTTTGAAAGAAACGGGTGTTTGGAGTAGGGTCTGGTTCCATTTCGTTGTGCCACGAACGAAGCGGGTCCACTCGCAGGCGACGGCGGCGGGCGGCAACTTGGTGCCCGGGGGCCAGCTGCCGCCGCGGGGCCACGTGCGCGTGCAGATGCAGCTCAAGGGCGTGGAGTACGCGCCTCGCCGATGTGGGGCTCTCTATCGGCCGAAGGGATTCGCCCTCCAGTCTTTAGTTCATGGGTGATGAACCTGGCTTCAAATCAGCAAGCAGAATGGATCGCCTTTGTCTAGTGTCAAGAAAAGTGGGTGTATACACCCTTGCGATAAGTGCGGAATGACCTGAGCTGAAGGCGGGGTTCTTGAAAGATGGATAGTGGGGGACTCCCAAATGGGTGTGGACGTGGACAATTGAGATCAACATGACAAAGTCGCCATGAGGATGGGAATCCCACTTGGGTACCACAGACAGGGTTTCCTACCTCATGTCCTTCAATCGCTGTTTTGCGGGGTCCAAATCCCACGTACCCCTATTAGATTAACAAAAGCAACCCGTAGTTTGCCTGTGGAGCTGTATTTGTAGTGGCCATGGCCATTTGTCGCTAGTTTTCAATGGAACCCGAAGGGAAACACCTCCCATCTAAGGGATTTTCCTCCTGGTCTCGCTTTACACCAACCCGAAATGGATATTTGAAGAAGAACCTCCAGGTTTCTCCAAATGCCTTCAGAGAAACCTGAACAGGAAGCCGCCGAATCTTAGGGCTCCAAGGTGCAAGTCCCCGCAAAAAAAAGAGAGCCATTCTCAGGTCCCAGTCCCCCCGCACAAACCGCCCAGAAATCCAGCCGACGACCGCCCCAGTCGCCGAACCCCGGCCGAAGCGCCAAGGACCTGCTGAGCGGCCCGCAGCTCCGGGAGCTGGATGCGGAGCTGGCGCAGGATGTGGCGCAGGCCACAGGCGATAAGCGAGCCGGGCAGGGGGAAGGGGAGGGTGGACGCCCCAAACCAAGGTGATTCCGTGTTTCTCGGGGTTGATTCCTTTTCCATTCTTTTCAGCCATCGTTCTTCTCAAAAACCAGCCATTTCCCCAGCATTTTGCAGGTTTTCTAGAAAGACAAATCCATGGAAAGAATGGGGAAGTTAACCCTAGATTTGTTGGGTTTTGTAGGCAACTTTTGGGGAATCACTTGGGGATCAATTTTTAGGTTTTGGAAGTCACGTGACCCAGGGATTCCATGTCGGGTTGTGCAACCAAGGGCTTGCCACCTTACGAACCAAGAGGAAATGGACAATGAGCTCGGAAAATGGAAGGCGTACGGCGTACATTCGAGACTGCAGATGTCTCATGCACTTCTGGAACTTGCGGTTGGTTTTCGTTTGGGGCTGGTTGAGTGGCCTGCGCTAAGACAAGTGGACTGGGGATCATCTCCACTGCTTTATTGTCATGTCACGAGGCAAATCAAATTGTCAGCAAAACCAAGTGTATACTTCATGTTCTATACTTGTTTATAAACTTGGGCAAGGCACACACCAAGACACTTAGCCACATAATACTAGACTGTCCCTGACCCTGAGACTCTTTTTCCGCGAAAGACGGCCACCCGAAAAAAGAACCCGCCCTTGGCGACTCGCGACTCCTCTGACCATGGTCGAAGGCCTCAGCACTGACGACCTCTGGGACGAGGCGGGTGTGCCTGGGCACGTCTCCCTGGACGCTGCGCCTTGATTCGAATCGGATGGGCGTGTCTTTCTCCAAGAGACCCCCCCCTCAAAAGAAGGACATGTTGGGTTTCCTCGGGAAATGAGGGTAGCAACTACAAGAGAAGGCGAGCCACACACACACACACAAGATTCAATTCGCAAGGGAAGGTTTGACAGTCAGAGTGCTCTTGTTTTGACGAATGGATCATGATTTACGACACTTTTCTTTTGTTGTCGCGTGCTCTCACGTCGAACGGCGACAGAGGCCTGAATGGAAAGCCCAGAAGGAAGCTTGCCAAGTTCCGAAATCGACCACGGGGGGGGGTCCCCACTTTTAGCACATCATGTGGGTCTGAACATGTCAGTTGGTTGGAATTTTCTGAACATCATTTGTTTTCTGTTAGTTGTACATGGAGGACTTGACTGTTGCAATTTCGTTTAGGAGCAGACAAAGGTAAGATGCGTTACAACCATGGAACAAGCATAGCCCATATTCACTGCCTGTGACAGTTGCTCTCAAATGGTTTCACCTACCCCCAAACACTACCCCCCAAAGTTACAGACACTCGCCACCAACTAGTCCAGCAGTTTAATGGGGCCTCAGCCACTATCCACGGGTTGTGTTTCCCAAACCGGGTTTTGGGAACTTCTGTTGTAACAATCTCTCCTGAAACCCTTGTGGCCATCAAAACAATGGTTGAGTTAGTCTAGCCACTGTTTGCTCAAGTTTCATCTAGATTGGGTCCCCAAGTGGCCGTCTGGCTGTAACTGGTTCTTTTTCAAGACCATCCTTAGAATGCTTCTCCTGTACGAAAGCGGTTTGTTTCCTGGTTTCCCCTGCATGGATTACATGCGATCGGTGCGACAGGGAATGAGAGGTAGAATGAACTGGGGATTCCCTGAAAGACAGCGGCCGGCTGGTTCAAAAGGGAATCATTCCACTTCTCACACCCGTCGAATCGTTCTTGGCTTGAGCTGAACGAGTGTAGGCCGATGGCCTGGGGGTGTTCTTCAACCTGGAGATCCCTCGACACCACAGCCCCGAGAGCCTCACGCGGGTTTTCTGGAGCGAGTCGCTGCAGGAGTCGGTGAGAAAAAGTCTGCGGGAGCCAACGACCGCCAAAAACCTCGGGGAGAAACACAGGTTTGGGGAAGCCGACGGGACACCCAGAAGGGGCTTGAAGTGTGATTCCCTTTGCATTCTTTGCACCCTTTGCAACCGATGAATGACTTCTTAATCTAGAGATATGGCATATGATCATCCTCTTACGAATGAAACAACCATGATACTATATGGGTGGAAACCTAAAAGCAACAACCTGCGATTCTCGACTGGCTTCATTTTGACCCATGGCCATATGTTCTATTGTCTCTACCTGGATATGTAGCGTTTGCTGGCAGCTGCCAGGAGAGTCTCCACAACACCGTCTACGAGGTTGCGCCCGAGAGTATCACAGGTGGGCTCGTCCGCTCGTCCGCTTGCGCCGCGACGCGTTTGCTGGGGTCCGGAAACGGGGAGGAGACATGCGATAGCTGTTCCCAGCAAATCGTCCGGTTCCAGGAGATCTGAGGGCATTCCAGATGTGAGGGTGTTTATAAACATGGGGGATGTCCCGTTCGTTTTCAAGGGCAGACACCCTTGCCATGTTGGGGGGGGTCACCAATTATTGAACACCATGTGTGATTTTGGAAGTCTTGAGATGGAGGTGTCTACTTCCGATGTATCTCAGGCATTTCTATTTGTTGTTTGATACAGCTGCTTGTTTTAGACGCAGCTGCTGTTTGTGGTCTTTTTGTTGGATGGATCACCACCTAGTGGCGCTTTTTGGATGCAGCTAGGTTTCCATGCTGTTCTGAGCAGGGAACCAGCCCTGTTTGGAACCAACGAGATTCCCTTTAGAAACCACTGGTTTGGTTTAGTTTGGGGTCGTTCCCCTCACTCCATGCCTATCGATCCAAGAACCCCCCCCCAAAAAAAAGAGAGAACATATTTTGTTTTTGTGTTTTTCCCCGGCCGACTCTTTGATTGCCAGTTCGGGTTTGCCCTCAAACGGTTTCCCAAGGCGCCCCGGAGATCCGAGCCACGCGCCGCTCTCGACCTCGAGCGCTCGCCTCGCCTCGGGCGCTTCGAGGCCCGGTGCGGGTCTCGGTGGCCTTCTCGGAGGCGCAGGCCCCGAAGCCGAGACGGGGCTCCAGCCTCTGGCTGGTGCTCCTCGGGGCGCCTCGGGCGGCCAAAGCAGAGTGCGCAAACGAACAAATGCAGAGCCGGGCGTGGACGAACAAAGCAAATGTAGATCTGTACATCGATCCAGTCTCCAAGTCTCCAACCGGTACCCGATTCTCGGGATCCTCACGTGTTGTTCGCATGCGACATGGCGACTTTCTCGGCCCAGTTCGCCCTGCTGCTGGCGCTGGTCTGCACCTGCCTCCTCAGCTACCGCTGGCTGGGTGGCAAAGGCGGCCGCGGGAGGTGCAGCACGCTGGACTGGGAGCTGCAGAGCTGCCACGACGGCATCTTCGACTCGGAGCTCCCGGGAGGGATTGGGGGATCGGATCTGGAACCAGAAAGGGCTCGACGAGCTGTCTGTTTTTTCATACTTCGGAGGTTCTGCTTAAAAAAGAAGAAGGGAGAGTAACACCTCATGGACTTAGGAGGTTAGACAGAAAAGAAGAGCAAACACATATTTGTCCCTGACGTTGATCAGACGTTCGATTTCCTGAGATGCGAGAAGGAAACAGTCTGGGTTTCCGGTGTCACTAGAAGACGGGATCGCCTGTTGAGCGACAAACCGCGGGAGGGAATTGGACTTCAGCCATGCCCATTTGAGAGAGCACGCAAATCAACTGAGGTAAACGAATGGTTCTTGGTTCACTGTGAAGCTCCAACTTGTTTGACTGGGATTGAGTTTGGCCACTAGGCTTCACACAGGCAAACGCTAGAAGGTTGTTGTTTTCTTTCTTTTCCTTCCTGGGGCTCTAAGTGACTAAGTAGCCGGAGCTTTATGTTTCAAGGCGCCAGGTTTCTCCTCCGGCGTAGCGCTGGGTTCGGTTTGGGAGCGAGAGCTTTTTTTGGACTCCGAAGGACTCCGAGCCGGAGCGCTCCCCAGCGTCCCCCGCGCGTGTCAAGCTGTGGCCCGGCTGCATGGGCGTCCTGTTGATCGGTGAGTGCGGTCGAAAATAGATGGGTTTCACTGGTTTAGTTGGGTTCTATTCCATTTACCAGAGCCATCTGTTTTGTCAGAAGGCCACCTATGTCTGACCATGGTATATATCCGGTCCATCCTCGACGGTTTTTCCTTGTTTTGAACCCACGCAGTGGGAGGATGCATTGCGACGACTGAAATTCACCCGCCCTTGCGCCTGGCTGGTATGGGAAATACTGTGGTTTCACTGCTTCGATCGCCCAGATCCTTCAAGCGATGATCGAAGACGACCAGACGATGCCGAGAGGACGAGGTGCGCACAGCCAGCTTTGAGGGCCTACGCAGAGCAGCGGAGACTGCCGGGAAAGGAGTGAGGCTGCATACAAGCTTGTACAATGATGGGGGCATTGTTGATTTTGGCAGATCTTTGGTTGCAAGGTTGTCATACACTGATGCCTTGCGCCCACCCTACATAAATTTGAGGGGCGCATTTGGCACTGGCTTCCGCAGTTTGATTTGCTTGGCCAGGATCATCTAAAAAAAGGGAGACTGACCTTCCCGGGTTTGATACATTTGCGCCCTCCAGTCAGAGAAAAGGAGCAGGAGCGAGAAGAGAACCAGGATCAGGAACAGACAGCAGCAACAACAAGCACACAACCATCCGCGGCTGCATTGGAGAAGCTGCTTCACAAGGCACACAAGTTTTGTGGGATGAGTTTTTGTTTTTGTTCCTAGTTCTTAGGGCTGGCGGTGGTTGGTTGGCTTGTTGGTTGGTTGGTTGGTGCTCTGCCAGTGCTCTGCTGTCGAGAGCGCATCCCCAGCATCACCAGCATGACTTGGACCAGTTTGGCACAGTCTGCACAAGCAACCGCCTCGAAATGAGCCACACAACTGCAAGCCCGGGATCGCTGCAAAAAGAACTAGCCTTGGAAGGCCAATGCTCTGCCCGTAAGGCAAGCATTGGTTTCATAGAGCCTTTTGTATGTTGGTTGGTGACCACGCATGCAGTCCCACCTCTCTTCAAGGATGATGGGACTCCAGGTGATGAGTAAATGAAGCTTGGTTGTTGCCTGCATGTAAGAGCCGATCACTTTGGGCGGAGTTGCATCTTGTTTCTACCAGGGTTTATCCAGGGTCACTCCAAAAAGTAAAGAAGCGCAGGTGCTCACTGCATAGCCCAGAGGGAAGGTGCCACTTCGCTTCATCGGCGAGCCTCCCCCAGGTGCTCGCGGAGACGACCGCCAAGCGGAAACCGCGCGGCGAAGCGCCGAAGCGCCGAAGCGACGCAGCCGTGGACATCGCCGGGGGAAAAAAACGCGTGCTGCGCAGACCATTGGTTTTTGAGCTCCCGTTTGGGCGAATTGGTCAGGTAGGAATTGTCACGGTCCGAAAGTGTCCTCTACAATTGGGCCATTTTGCCTGACTGAGGAATGGCAGGGCGAGGGAACTGGGAGTTGATATCTGGGTGCCAGCAGTTCTCCGTCGCAGATGCTGCCATAGGTCGAGGCTCTCCTTTCAATCTCAGTCAGTACGATGTGCCATCCATTAGCCTTCAAGTTGCGATTGACCAACATGGGCTTGTTCCCTTTGGTCTTTCTTTCAACCTCAAACCGGGGTACCGAGGGCCCAAGAAAATGACCAACAGCCTCCCACGACTCATTTCCCGCCAGGACGGCAGGTCCCTCAGCTTGCTGCGCGGCTCGGCATTATCAGCTAGGGTTTTGTGTGTGTCTGTAAACGGCCGAGCTGGTCATGCAAAACGGGAAAGGAAAAGGATGTCCATGGGCAAATTCGATTCCAGAGGGGGGAGGAGACAGAATTTATGATTCATGGCACCCATCCCATTTGGTAAAAGGGGCTTCGGGCGCCATGTTTCGTGCTGGAAAGTCCTTGTCGCCTGGTACTGTAGCGAGCACAGGTTCGTGAGCCGTGTCCTTGATTTCAGAAAGAATGGATTGAGTCTCGGCTCACCCGAAGTCTCCCTTACTGCTGTGCCCCACCATGACCAATGTGAGCGCCCCAAGACACTGACTTTGGTTCTACCCGGCTCGTAAAGAGACTCAGAAAGAGGAATACGCAGACTCTCTATTCCGTCCGCTGGTTCATTTTGTTGTTAGAAACGGCAGTTTGTGGCAAGGGTTGCTTCGAGGACTTGAAACACAAGGATGAAAGCGCAGAATAGAACCAAATGGAGGCCCATACCGTGGACGGAAGACATCTTGCATGAGGTTTCTACGACCGCATGTTTCACCCCGCGCCCCCTGCTTGACACTGTTTGGGACAGGCAAACATGTTCATGGGTAGCCGATGACATAAGTCTTGCATGGCCCCTTCAGGTTGGGTTTACACCAAAAGCCAACAACAAAACCAAAACTTGTTGGTTGCATCAGCAAACATATTCACCCTCAGACAATTTCCGCCCTCGTGTTTCTTGGTTTCTCCTTTTTGTTTCCGCGTGTTTTGCACGCCCTCAGAAAATTTCCAACCCCCTTTGGGCGTACCATGCCGCGCCGTACGCGGCTGGCGGCTTCTCATGTTGCGGCCGTTTTCCCCGAGGCGCGGCGGCGGCGCGGGACGCCTCGGCGGCGGTACGGCTCGGGGCGTGCCGGCAGCTGGCCAAGGCGTTCGGCGCGCCGCATGGCGCGGAGGCGGGTCACGAGCGGTCGGTGGGGGTTGGGGTTGGGGGTTGGTCGGGGGTGGATCGGGGTGGGTGAGGGGTGGTACTGCGAGCCTTGCTCTCATTCGATATTTGGGCTTAACGGTTTGGGGACGAAGCTCGGATGACCTTTTCCCCGACACACTGGAGCCGAGGCTCCATTGCCCCCACCGCACGCAGGTGGCACGGTGTTGTTGTTCATGGGGTTCTTTCAAATCTAGGGCTCGTCATCACAACCCGTCCAGGTGTCTCGGTTTTCTGTTGCGACCTTTCCTAATCCCAAAAGGAGGGAGAGGACCCAAGTCTGCTTGGCCAATTTGGTACCCCTTCAGAGGCGACTGGCGGCCAGTGACCGCACAGCGGCAACCAATTCCGCTGAGCCCTGAAGTATTCCGAAAGGCGGACCCCCCTCGTCGTTCGCATTTTTTTTTGTGAGGAACCAACTATCCTTGGGTCGACACCCCCAACAACCAAAAGGAAGTCCCGAGCAGCCACCCGCTCGAGTGCGGAGATTTCGTTTTGGGGAAGCGGGCAAAACCAAAGGCTTCCTAGTCATGGTTTGCCTTTTCCACTGTTTGTGGGATAAACAAACAGCCCCCCTGGTAGAAACCCTTTTCAAGGGAGGCTGGTCATTTCAGTGGTCCCAGTGGCTGCGGGCTTCTCGGTGCTTTCCGAGTTGAAATTCTTGTTCGGTGCGAGATCTGCTGCGAGCTGGCGGTGCACATGAACGGGCTCTGGGGAACCCCGCCGGCAGGCCTTCGGGGTCGTTGGGGCTTGGACGGATGCGAGTGGCGAAAAACGTGGAGTTGGTTGGCTGGTTTGTTGTGTTTCACGCCTTTTTTCTTCGGGGTGTCCGCCAAATATTTTGGGGGCCTTGCGGTAAGTTGAAAGGCCAAGGGTCGGTCTTTGTGGGGCCAGGTTGGGCACTTTACTTGGTTCCGCTGGAGTCTCAGTTCTTAGCACCCGATCCAAGTTTGGACTGAGATGGTGTCCAAAGGCTCTAGAGAGAAGAATGGACAAAGAAACACAGAATCCTTCAGTTGGCAGATGGTTTATCCCACTATTCCTATTTCTGTCCCAAACGGTGCGAAGTGGGTCTTGTCCATCCACAGCACATAATAATTTTTTACATACGTATATAATATGTATATATCTATATATACATATATGCACAGGTACATATCATTGAAAAGAACAGACATATACATACATACTTATATATAACATACATTTAGATGCATATGTATATATATATATATATATCCCAAATGCTGCTGGTTCCGAAACGCCCCTTGAGGTGGCATTTTGGAGGATCTCCGGCGCTTCTTCTTCGAGCGGGTGGAGTCCAAGGGGCCGGGGGAGCCCAGCGTCGGCTTCGGCTCGGCTTGCTGGTTGAGTCGTGGATTGGGGGGCTTTGGGGGCTTTGGGGGCTTTGGGGGCTTTGGGGGCTTTGGGGGCTTTGGGGGCTTTGGGGGCTTTGGGGGCTTTGGGGGCTTTGGGGGCTTTGGGGGCTTTGGGGGCTTTGGGGGCTTTGAGGGCTTTGGGGGCTTTGGGGGCTTTGGGGGCTTTGGGGGCTTTGGGGGCTTTGGGGGGGGGCTTTGGGGGCTTTGGGGCTTTGGGGGCTTTGGGGGCTTTGGGGGCTTTGGGGGCTTTGGGGGCTTTGGGGGCTTTGGGGGCTTTGGGGGCTTTGGGGGCGGGGCTTTGGGGGCTTTGGGGGCTTTGGGGGCTTTGGGGGCTTTGGGGGCTTTGGGGGCTTTGGGGGCTTTGGGGGCTTTGGGGGCTTTGGGGGCTTTGGGGGCTTTGGGGGCTTTGGGGGCTTTGGGGGCTTTGGGGGCTTTGGGGGCTTTGGGGGCTTTGGGGGGTTTGGGGGCTTTGGGGGGTTTGGGGGGTTTGGGGGGTTTGGGGGGTGAAGGTTGACCTAGTTTGGGGGGGGGGGGGGCTTCCGGAAAAGTCAAAAAAGAGACACGTTGAGTTGGCATGAGTTCTTTGAGGTGAGAAGGGGATCTGTTTGGTTTGGGGCATGTTGTTCCCGCAAACCCCAACCCCAATCGCCTTTTCTATTTGGCAAAAAGCGAATGTTCCATTCCCAACCTTTGGGTTGATCTCGGAATTGAGGATTCCGGAGAACCAGCAACCTCCCCCCCACCTCAACATGAACAACCAGAAAGAAGGAGTTAGACAAAAACCACACCACCAAATGCATGCAAGCAAACAAGCAAACAAGCAAGCAAGCAAACAAACAAGCAAACAAGCAAGCAAACAAACAAACAAACCATAGACAAGCAAGTCAAGCAAACCGGCTTGATCTTCCACAGACAAGCAAAAAACCATCAATGAGAAGAGAAGCAAACAACCCACACGAAAAATATATATATATATATGTATACACCACATAAATCAAATCAGCAAGTCTGATCTTCCAAAGGGAGGGTCCCTCAAGAAGTCCGCCCCTCAAATCCATCCGCTTCAGGCCGCTGCTGCTGGACGCGCTGAGTGCCTCCTGGCGCCTCGGGGCGCAGAGTTTGCTGCCCAGCCTGCTGAAGGCGCTGAAGCGCCAGGCAGGTGTGCCGAAAATTACCGCCGACATGAAAACAGGAAGACCGGTTCTCCAGGAGTCCTACCCC